TTTCATGACAAACATGTATGTTATGCACTTCAAAAGGAAAAAAACTAACACAGATATCCGAGCTATTTTCCGCATGATAATGTTTTTCAAATAGCAATTCCTGATTGGTCTGGCCGGACAACCCCTTGCTACCGTCTTACATTGAATTTGACGTGTGCTATATGATACCGTGCGTTATAGATGAAAATTCTAATCAATAACCCAATTGTGTTAAATATGTCTTCAAAAATAATTGATATATTGACCTTCTATCTGAATGAACATTTCATATAGCAGAAGAATGAGGAGTATCGAATTTTGGTGGATAATTTTTTGTTTAGATTATGACAAATGCAACTGGTAGAAAAACCTGCGCTGAAGTCGAAAGTTTAAACAGGTATTTCTTCTATATTCACTACAGCGTGTAAATTTTAAATTGCTAGATTTGAATTTCCTTACCTATTAACAATTTTATATCCAAAGAAATATTTTCTTTATATCTTAAAATTTAAAATAAAAAAAACATAAAAAATAAGAACCAGCGCATTAATGATAATGATTCGTTTGACCGGTCTTTCCCACACGCGGAGGTTTGACTTAGAATCTATGATGTGAGACCTTGGTCTACACTCTGTTATATGAGGGTTTCGTCTAGAAACTATTATATGAGACCTTGGTCAAGAATCTGTGATATGAGGGTTTGACCTAAAATCTATGATGTGAGTCCTTGGTCTAGAATCTGTGATATGAAGGCTAGGTTTAGAATCTGTGATTTGAGAGTTTGGTCTAGAATCTATGATGTGAGAGCTTGGTCTAGAATATATGATGTGAGTGCTTGGTCTAGAATTTGTAATGTGAGAGCTTGGTATATAATCTGTACTGCGAGAGCTTGATCCAGAATATATGATGTGAGAGCTTGGTCTATAATCTGTAATGTGAGAGCTTGGTCTAGAATCTATTATGTGAGAGCTTGGTTTAAAATCTGTAATGGAGAACTTGGTATAGAATCTGTAATGTGAGAGCTTGGTCTAGATTATATGATGTGAGAGCTTGGTCTAGATTATATGATGTGAGAGCTTGGTCTAGAATATATGATGTGAGAGCTTGGTCTAGATTATATGATGTGAGAGCTTGGTCTAGATTATATGATGTGAGAGCTTGGTCTAGAATGTGTGATGTGAGAGCTTTGTCTAGAATCTGTAGGTTTTTTACCTTAACTTATTATTCTTAAAACCTAACACATTTGATTATAACTTATTCAACACTATGAAATGTTTTCACTTTATATATTTATTTTGTTACAGAAAAATAAATTCCTAAGCCTTCTATTATGTATTAAGTAAGATGTAAATATACATATAAATTCCAAAACTTTCTGTGATCTAATAAAGGTTACATGTAATTTGCTCCTTAGATTACTTGTTTGTTTTATTTTTATACGAAAGTGAGTATCAAAATTATTGACCGTCACCTTGAAAATTCTATTGACTAGTTAATATAATTATTCATTATTATCCGTACCAGGTTATTTACTCGATAAGCTTGAAGAGCTGAATTGCATAGGAAATGGGAAATTATATACAAAAAAAAAAAAAATCCACGGTGTCAAATTTGGCAAAACTGTTTTAGCATACTAACAGCTGTAAAAGTTAAGGAATTGCAATGGAAATGTGTACACAGTACACTATACACAGAAATGAAAATTAAGACAATTGGAAGCTCAATCTTGCTTTTGCAAAACCGAAGATGAAGACATACAACATGTGTTATTTAAATGTAAATGCATTACAAATACTATACATTATGTAGAAATATTAATGAGGAACATTGTTCCTGATAGGCTAACTATGTACTCGATAAAGAGGGAACCGTTACAGTAGAGTATCCAGGAAATAATGAATTTTCAATATTGATTAATACAGTCATACGTATTATGAAATGGATAACATGGAAGGGAAGGAATGACATAAAGCATAACAGCAAACTGCCAAACCTAGAACGAACAAAATAACAAATAAAAGGTCAACTGAAACATGAGCTTTTGTTATATTGTAAATTGAAGCAAAGGTTCCAATTGAAACTGTATCATGCTTGTATGAAAATATAAATGAAAATTATAAAACAATATATATATAAAATATAGATCGTGTGCTTCAGCGTGGAGCCTGGTCAATCATGTCGATAGCTCGGTCATGTGATAAGAGTTGCTATGATCAGCACAGGGATTGAGCTCTCGGGATAATTGATCAGGCTAACGGGAACTGAACACGTGTTTCACTCGACGAAAAGTGATTCGCACTGTACACTGATAAACGAGTTGATAACTTAATGCTAGACGAAAAAAACCGTTTATACACAGTTTATTTCATGTCCAACAAAATATGTGTTGCTTTTGATTTCTACAATGTCAAACAAGATGAAGTTTATGTCATATACAATGTCAAACAAGATGAAGGTTATGACATATACAATGTCAATCAAGATGAAGGTTATGACATATACAATGTCAAACAAGATGAAGGTTATGACATAAACAATGTCAAACAAGATGAAGGTTATGACATATACAATGTCAAACAAGATGAAGGTTATGACATATACAATGTCAAACAAGATGAAGGTTATGACATATACAATGTCAAACAAGATGAAGGTTATGTCATATACAATGTCAAACAAGATGAAGGTTGTGTCATATATAATGTCAAACAAGATGAAGGTTGTGTCATATATAATGTCAAACAAGATGAAGGTTGTGTCATATATAATGTCAAACAAGATGAAGGTTATGTCATATACAATGTCAAACAAGATGAAGGTTATGTCATATACAATGTCAAACAAGATGAAGGTTGTGTCATATATAATGTCAAACAAGATGAAGGTTGTGTCATATATAATGTCAAACAAGATGAAGGTTGTGTCATATATAATGTCAAACAAGATGAAGGTTATGTCATATACAATGTCAAACAAGATGAAGGTTGTGTCATATATAATGTCAAACAAGATGAAGGAAGTGTCATATATAATGTCAAACAAGATGAAGGTTGTGTCATATACAATGTCAAACTACCACACTGTATATATTACCAAAGTTTGAATGTACAATCACCTGTGCGTATGGCACGTACACCTATTAAGTTGCAAGGAAGTAGACTCTGCTGGGGGATTAATTATTTCCCGAGGTTTTTGTAACCACTATGATCCCTTTTAAGTAATAGAAAGGTTCATAATGTATAATATTTCAAATTGATAAATTAAGGGGTTTTGCCTTGAAGAGGTTCGTTGAAGGGACATCATATGTAATGATATTGAGATGGTTGCGTTATTAAATCCATTTAAGTGTATTTGACCTTGGTCCACTTCTATGGTATAAATTGCAAAATGACTACCAGGTGATTGATGCAGGCTCATTGATTCTCTATTAAATCCATCTTAACTATGTTTGTAGATTAGTATATAACTTTTTAATTTCTCTTTCTGAAACTTTTGCCATGACAGAAAGGTGTTCAACGGCTCCAAAATAAAGTGGCAGACTTTGAGAGTATTCATCGAGTGTTGCCAAACCCTTATTGAATGATTATACAGAAAAAGAGGGACCCTTGATGTGGAATAAAATTGAAGATCGTCAGAGTATAAAGATCGAGAGACACAGGAATTCAGATTTCCTCAGAATCTACGAATTACTTATCCAATGTAAACATGTGTTTAGAAACATATTATATCGGATAGATCTTTCCCTCGATACTGAAACCTGAATTTATATAAAGATATGTGTATTTCAGTTGGAGATAAGGGTATTAAGTATTTCTTTTTAAATTTGTTCCGACCATAACTGAATTTGATTTGTTAAAAATTTTAACATTCCAATTTATTATTTGTAGTTGCACTATAAATTTGATGACAATTACATGTTAAATGAGAAGCAAAACAAGATGATTACAAAAAACTTTTGAAAATAATAGGCTGTCTGTGGATGTATTCTCTTGATTTTTAGGAATCCAAATTGAGAATAAAAAAAAATCCGTGCCTACACACTTTTTCATAAAGTACAGAGCATTACCATGATTAAATAATATTCAAAGTTCTGTAGAAAAAAAACACAATTACCACTTAAAAGAGCGAAAAAGGTCAATTCAGGTCAATTCAGGTCAATTTCAGGTAAACTTTGCAGGTCAATTTCACCTAACAACAGCCAAAACGTCAATTTCATGTGAAAACATTTCCTGAATTTAACCTTAAATTGACCCGAATGTGAATTAAGAAAAATCACAATGATAGCTTTAATTGTCCTGAATTTGTTTTAAAATTTACCTGAATTTGTTCATGTCCAGGTCAGTTTTAGGTTAAATTCAGATCAAATTTTTACCTGAAATCAACTTATTTTGCTCTTTTCAGGAAAATAAGTCCTCAATTGATATAAAGAAATGTTGCCAGTGTACTTCTGTTCAAAGCTCATTTTAAATAAAACTACAAGTAAATGTCTTGAAATAGTAAAATTCAATGATAGAACTAAATCTTACCACATAATCTTGCCCATTCCTATACCCTAAAATTTCAATTTGAGAGTAATGTCAGCAAAGGAAACATCAAAATGAGTTGATTTAATGGCAAAATAGACATTTTCCATTCAAACACCTTCGGAACTCACATATGTGCTTGTCATAGCGTGGCGTTCATTGTTAGTTTCTCTGTCCGCCCGTCGTCTTTTATCTTTTAATTGTTTAGTCTCTTGAACTGCTTTAGGTTTTTTAAACATACGAATTAGGAAGTATCTATTGATTTTATCAGATATGGTAATAAAACTGTATTGCATAGCCCTAGCTCAATATTGCTATCAAAGTCCTCTAGACTTCTTATAAGTATTTAAAGGAAAATGAGTCGCATTTAGAAAATTTGCCCAACTACGAAAAATGGTCAAAATGGTCAAGAACCCATGTGATCTTTTTGCAATTCGTGAGAAGAAACGTCTTCAAATAACCGTAGATAAAAACAAAAAACAAGGAAGAAGTTAGGGAATCTTGTTTTATTTAGTTGTTGCATAATTAAAAACCCTATAAACTTTAAATTGATATTACCACTATCAAAATGAAAGCCGTTCCGGACCTATTAATATCGTGTTTGTCTCCTTAATTCCTTCTCTAGCTCCCTTGGACCAATGAATGGATCAGAAAGCGCTTGGTCCTTTTTTATTTGTTCATGGTTTCATTCCAACTCCAGTGCCAACACCAATGAGCAACGTTGATCGGAGTATTTGCCCTACGACTTAACCTTTTATCAAACTTGTTCCATAAATGTCTTAGCGGGAAGATGACAGAGATGCACGACGGTTGGTCTAGGTAAGTCAACAAAATCGTCAGACGTTTTTTATTTTTTATTTTCCACGTGCCAGTAACAATTATATGAATGAACGTTTTGATTAGTTATTAGACTTGATCTGTTTATTGCTTTCTTTCTTTTATTATTATTTCAAGTTGTTAGCGTGCGGCTAAATTCATGAATAAAAACAGGTTATTTAAAAAAAGTAAACGTACCATGAAACATAAATTTTAAATTGTATACATTGAACATGGCTGTCCGAAGAAAAAAGATAGAAAAAAATAAGTTAATAGATGAAAAGTATGAAAATATTAAATGTTGTCTATTTCGAAATTAGCCTTTTCTGTCTTGCCACAAAGCTTTCTAAGGACCTGTCCATGCTGTCGTATCCACTTATTGGCGACTGTGAAGAAAAAAAACATACAATAATTAACATTTTCCCTCCAGTACCAACAAACAATATCACCTCCTGCTCTTAAATATATGAAATATAGTACAAACCTGCTATCAAATATCAAATACGATTTCACAAATCCCTGAGTATCAAATATGGTAGTATCCTCCCCTCAAATATCAAATATGGTATTAACCTCCCCGCAAATATCTAATACGGTATTACCCTCCCCTCAAATATCAAATATGGTATATAACCCTCCCCTCAAATATATAAGTCGGTATTACCCTCCCCTCAAATACCAAAAACGGTACAAAAAAGTAGTGAAATTTACACTTAAAGTAGGTTAATCCTTTTGACAAACCAAAGTCATTTTGTTCTTTCTAGTCATATTTCTTACATTTTTAAGGTGAATTGGGCTTACAAAATGTGTATGCTTACACGCAACACGACAGGAACACGTTCATTTTCAAATAAGGCATGTCTTAACCCTATTTATCTCTTAAGGTTAAGCCAAGTGTATGATGTACTCTTTTACATTTCTGCATATTAAGACAACTAATTTAATACCTTCATTTATCACCTGAAAGGTAACAGGATGCGTGCCCCATCTGTCTTAGAATATTAAGTCACCGACACTAATTCCCTCATTTAATTTCTGAAGATTAGTTGAACTGCATGATGTACCCTCGTATAATCTCTGAAAGTTAAGTAATGCACGTGATGCACCCATACTTAATTAATCTCAAAGGATTAAGACAGCTGCATGTCATACACCATAAGTCTCTGAAGTTTAAGTCAACTACAGACTTAAAAATTGCATGGCGTACCCCATTTTGTGCCAAGTAGTACCGGGCAGCCTGCATGCATCATTTTCTTATTCGTGGATCCGTTTGGCAAAGTGTTGTACCAAAATACGGCCGATCCCTGGTTTAAACATAAAGCATGCCAATAAAAGTTAAATCTTATAAAGATAATTATATTTGCTTGAAAAATATACATTTTAAAATAAATGCTTAGTGAAAACAGCGTCAAGACAAGATTTCATACAATAATTTAATAAGTTTAATGTATGTAATAATATTGCACAACATTATTAGGTTACATGTATGTATAACTGCCTTTGTAAGAAACTGTCTTTAGTATATAACGTTTATTGACCTAAACACGTGATTTTAATATGATTAAACAATTTAATTTCTACGTTCTTTAACGAAGTAAGAATCTCCACTAGTTTGCCGTTAACAAGAAAATAGGGTCCTTTAAATAACATTTGGCATTTAATTTCAACCAATAACCTGTAGATGTATTACAAGGAAAATGTAACATCAAGTATTTAACAAAATAATTACCTCGGTAACAGGAACACGTGCTTTCAGTAGCGGAAATACTGTGGCGCCACCTGCCTTCACCGAACTTAACTGCAAATAACATTCAACAGGGTCACAATGGTTTTCACGCATCGAAATAAATTTTTGGTTTTATACTTCATTTTCACGGGTTAATGTTTTCTATTAATTTTCAATAAAAAGGTTGACAAATAAAAAAAATCATTTGTTTGGAATTTAACAAAGAAAATATTTATTTTCAAAACAAAATATGCTATTTATTGTACTCCGTTTAACAATCTATTATCTTTTTTTTGCCACAATGAGTTTTATGATACCAAAAATTATCAAATCCCTTATGTACAAATCAAATTCTTGATATCAGTTGGTATACATCCTGTCTTGATCAAAAACCTTCCTAGACCTATATAAGTAAACAGCAATGTAGTTTTTTTAAGATAGCTGGTTTATTTAACCTACTCTATAAACCTAGGGAGAGACGCTATTTTCTTCCAATTTATATGCCGGTTTAAAAACAATCATCTTTTTACTTATCGTACACACTTGTACAAAGGTTTCTGTTACATAAGATGAAACAAAATAATTGGAACCCATTTATACAAAGATGGGGATCAAATTGCGCCTCATTTATTTAACATATAAATGACGGCATAAAAACAAAATATCATGAAATATTGTACACTTGTATAAATTAAAATGGACAATCATTTTCTATTAAATTGAATAAAAAGGAGGAAGGGGTGGGAGGTGGCTTGAGATAAATATCACAATTAAAAGCTGCCACGTCGGATATTTTTGTAAACAAACTGGCTGTGCATGCGTGTTGCATCCCAATATAATTGTGGATGTATGGCAGTACGAGTTACTTCCCTTGTCCTAACAGTAAATCGAACTAAAACTGATTAGCGCTAAAAACATTAACGTAAATAACATAAATTAGCCTTTAGCTCTGCATCAAAACATACAAGGATGTGCCCTGTTTGTATTAAGGTTAAAAATAACAGAAAACCAAAGATTGAAAGTAAAGCATGTCATTTATTCAAAAGATAAAGTGACGGTATAAAAAATCATCTTTTTACTTATTGTACACTCTTGTACAAAGGTTTCTGTTAAATAAGATGAAACAAAATAATTAAAACACATTTATACAAAGATGGGGATCAACTCGTGCCAAAATACAGCCAAACAGTTTGGACATTACTCCGAAATATCTGGCAGAAATGTGCTGTCTTCAATATGAATACAGATAATTAATATCAACAATTATTTTTGGTTTCTATATTGTCAATATATTAATATCAAGAAAACGGATTCCTGCTTATATATATAAAAAAAAAATCATTATCAAAGCCTAAACTGTAACCTTAAAACAGTACCTATTCCGAAGGTGATAAGAGAAGGAATTGGAATCACATATATTTTATTCCGACCTAAAATGTCTATACAACACACCAAATATGTGTCGCAGACAAGCATTTCTGATGGACTCTCGTGACCATATTAAGTTTATTCCTGGCACTGTGACTGAGATTAATTATTCGGTATGTCACTGCATATACACAGTTTATTGTTTAAATAATCACAAATACACTTAACGAAGTATATAAAGTGGATGAGCAAGGGTAAAGGTTAACAAAGATACTCACATAAAACATCCATGTGGCTATTCTGTCCCCGGAGTCGTTGATTTCTAATGCTTCAGGTAACCCACCTCTACCCCATAACGGTTTACCCTGTCAACACAACAAGACGAAATGAGAAGTAATCTCTTTCGTTTTGTACTCAGTCTCGACTCAACTTGTCTCAGTTTGGCCCTTTTTTTAAAAAATAACATATTACATTTCTATTGTATCCCTTTCGGCTCTATGTTTCATTAATTTATGATTTACATAAATAGGGTTAGCACACAGTTTACCGTATTTGCTCCGTATGTGGTAATAACGTGACTATACAAAAGCTCACACCTACTTCACAGGTACAAATGCTATACGTGTTTAATAGATCTCTGGTTTATTAGTTTACCATATGTAATATAATGCTACCAGGAGTTTTGGAGCAGTTATTGTTATTCCTGACAATACATCATTAATATATCTGTCTGTAAAATATGAAACAGATGGATGAATAATCGATTTCTTGTTCAAAGTCCTCGATACGTTTTTCATCTTTTACAGAATACCAAATCAATAGCTAAAAATAAATCGGTTCAAATTGTAGTGCGTTCACAGTGCTATTGATAAGATGTTTCAGCATGTGTTGTGTGTTGTTATCGATATGCAAATGTTGCTACAGTGTAATACATCGGTTATCAGTATAATTTACGTTGTAAAAGCAATATTTTCGCACATTACACTTTGGTATTTACTGAAACATTTGTATATTATTTATGCATTAAAGTTAGATAAAAGAGACGATAAATGTCTTAACGGTTGACGTCATCAATTTATTTCAGACATGGATGATTGGTGATACTTACTAAGTGGTCGTTATGTGGACCGTACTCCCCGCCTACTCCATAGTTGACCACCTGGAACATATTTATACATTTAACCACAGTATGGGTACATACTTGATGACAGTACTTTTACATATTGAAAAGAAGTAGGTGTATACAGACAGCATTGGTACACGATATGAATGCCCAAGTCACTGGAGGATTATCTTTTCCTTGAAATTGTAATAGTTGTGTTGTTGCATTATTGCAGGAACTGATATTTCTCTTTCATAGCAGACAATTTTGAACTGAAACTCTTATTTCACGTCAATGTTTTATTTGATCTTCCTATTGAAAACAGGCATTCGCTTTTTTTGTGATATTTTTTTTGTCCTTTTATTTCGAACAAGTTATTCTTCGCAATTTTACTAGCAGAGAAACGATGTTTTTACGGAGTCTGCTATTGCAGACAGAGTTTCGAGAATTTTTATGGAGAACTACCGTTGAAATAAAGTCATAGTATCTTGACATTTTTCTTTTCCAAATTCTGTCGATATTTTATAAAAATGATGCTAACACACCGACGAAAGGTTCTGTACCGTAGATGGTGTACACGTACCTGGTAGCGTTCTACACTACTAAGGTGATCCCGGAAGGTCATGTCAAGCCCTGTGATAGTGGATATACGTTTGTTGAGACGTAGTAACAGATGATGATCTGTGTCCTTTAGCCAGGCTCTGTGTAAAACAGGTAACATTTGGTTAAATGTGATATAGCCGTTGATTGATCAAATGGTCAAGATCATTAGAAATAACATACTGTATAATATCAGCACACACAATAACAGCCAAAATATATTGCAAAATAGAAGAAGCATAATAACAGTAAAAGCTATGGGGTGATAAGTTTGTGACATAAGTGATATATTGACGGATATCTCGTTACAGAGTATAATGGAATCAAAGGGCCATAAAGAATCAATGAGTGAGGGAATAGGTCGCCTCGTAGAAAATATATAACAAGAAAAGCATAATGTATTAAATTAGCCGAGATAATGTTGAACTACAGTATTTTACTATGATATATCATGCATTCGCAATGTCAGTGTGAAGTGTAACCAAATTATCAGGGATGGCAGTTGGAATTGTCATTTATTTAACCAATAGATAAAAGGGACCGCGACAAGGAACCGGGGACATGTTAGAGTAAGCAGCAACAATCAATCTTACAAAGTGGTGTTCGCACAGCCTCACGGAATTAAATATAAAACAAATACGGTAAAACGAAACATGGTAGTAAAAACAAAGACAGAACAATAAAGACATCTAATCCTATTTCAAAAAGGATTGAATTTAAATAAAGCAGGGCAATTTGTTTTGGTCTCACGGCTGTCCTTATTAAAAATGCACAGTTGAAAACTACCGATTATACATGGGACCCATACCAGCCCCCTTATACAATCATGTTTTGGGAAAGGGATGTTTTTTTCCCTTTTTCTGAAATACCCAAACTTATACTATTGAACGGGCTGTGAAAAACGTTCGTCAAGCTCACTTAAGTGTTGTTGAATTGTTTGGTTTGGTTATAATTTGTTCAACATCCTATGAACAACTAAGGTCATTTAATATGTGCCTCCATGTGTCTTGTGTATACGTGCATGTATGTGTGTGTGCCGGAGACAAGGTATGTTGATTTTATTGCCTCCTTGTGATAGCACGGACCTGACGCCAAATGTATAGTGCTACCTCACTGACATACCGTGCCGAAGGCACCCAGCACCGCATTCTACCCGGTCATAAATTATTACCTGCTTCGAAAAAAAGGCATTTAAAACAGTAGTACATCTCAGCTTTGATAGAGGACAACTTTTTCTTTCCTAATATCACCAAACCTGCAGTAATGAACGGACTGTGTAAACTTACGTTTGGCTTACTCTTTTGTTGGCCATGAGATGTTGTCCACTTTCAGCAAAAATCTTTGAATATGTCAACTGAAAAGAGAAACCCCACCTGGTAAGAGACGTCCATATCTGACAATAAACAATTCAACTCTCAAGAAAGTTCGTTGGGGTAGAGAATACGTCCCAAGATAATAAGTTCTCCAGTTCGGACAATGAATATACTAAAGTTTTGTTTTAAGTGAACAACAATAAAAACAAAAACTGAAGTACAGTGCATTCTATTACATATCGACTGCTTCAAAACACAGCATACTTTAATATTGTGAAATATCTATATATTAAATTATACATTCTTTACAAGACATTGGAATAGTCAATAGCTATTATGTCATTGTTTTCCAATAAGTAATTGTGCACTACGAGGTCCTATGCTGCCATTATTTGTCGTAAAGTATGTAAAACTACTTCCTCATTCAATATGCAGTAGTTAATTCTTTATTGTAAATAATCTTGAATAGTTGAAGTTATATCAACGCAGACACAGCTTTAATGTAACCGTCCAGTATTAAACTTTTTGTCAATACATCTAGAACAATATTTATAGCTATACCATCACTTATCAAACGATCGTGTTAGTGGAACGGTTTACCGAGAAACGTTCACCCAGTCAAATATTCGCCCATCACTGGTAAAAACCGTATTCGCCCAGCGTTAATTACGCTTTTCACTTGAAATTACTATAAGAAGATTTGTATACTTGTATTCACTGTCATGATAAATTAAGTCTCACTGTGGAGGGCGAAAAGGGCGAAAATAACCCGAAATACAATATGCCATCACTCATTGTGAATCATCGCACTTTTGGTATGGAGGCTGTTGAAGCGCTCATTTTAGTCTTGTCATAAAAAAGTAAAAAGTCAAATAAAGAGAAAAAAACACTGCAGCTAAAACGTTCATTTGAACTTTCCATCCAACTGTGTTCATATTTCTCTCTTATGTCTTTTTCTACGTCTTGTCATCTTTTGAATGATAGTTAAAATCTAAAATGACCAATTTGGTCCTCAATGGTGTGAGATTTACTCGAATTCTTTTCAGCTTCATCTAGCAGCTTTTAACCAAACTGTGTACAGATGATTATCGCACGAGTGTAGTTATTTTTCGAAGTGACCCTTTATCCATGATGGCCTCTGATTACCTGATACATCTTCATTCAAGCCGATTTCAATGAAAGTTTGGAAAATGGTCCTCTAATGAACAATAGTAATCGCATAAACAATGACTTACCTGCCAAAAATGTTAACTTCTATATCACTTAAATGCCTGAAAGTGTGCGCAGTTGTTGAATGATGAAGCGCCATAAGACATGAATGAGATGAATGTTTTGAAAGGCCTATTAAATTGTAACATAACAATTTTCTGCTTTGATATTTTAGCAACAAGATGAAAGTATTGATATAAAGATGAAGATAACAAATGCCAATTAAAAAGTACGTACATAATTGTAAAAATGAGGAAAAAAACTTACAGATTTTTCGCCTTCGTTACGTAGGAATTCCATCTCACTGTTGGATATGACGTTGTGATAGATTATTATGATAGGTTTTGAGTTGACAATCTCTGCTCTAATCTTGTAAAACGGAATCCGGGTATTCGTCAGGAAACATTTCAATCTGGCTTGCATTTTCGCAGACTAAAATAAAAAGAAAAGACATCACTATATCAATAATGATAACTCTCGAATGCATTCAATTTATATCTAACAAACAATATTAAGTTAACTGATTTGTTCACCACAGTACTGCATAATCGTTGTGTAAATAAAATATAGCAAGGTAGGAACTTATCTATTTCAAAATATGTAAATATCTGACACAAAATGTTCTTGCTAAGGGAGGTAATAACGAGTTAAATAATATAGTATCACAAGGAGAGGTCATACACAGAGGTTAACCAACGAGTAATTGTAGTTTTTCATGTTGATGTTACTCACGTTAATTTTTTTTCAAATTGTATAAAGACAATAGGTTTACTGTCTTATCTCGGAGGAAATCAATTTTCAGTGATTGATCATGGAAACACTAATCACATATCAGAAGTTATTTTTTCTTTTGTTAAAACTGTTATTTTTAATGGTTTCAATTCACACGTATATATAATATTATATGTGATAGGTGACACTACCTTCAGTGGTCCCCGACATAATGCCTCGTATGGAGCCTGGTATCTGTCTGTATACTCAGGAGGCTGTAGTTTCTCTCGAGATGTTCCTTTAGGAAGGGCGGCTAATCGGGTTTTGTAAAATTCATAATTGGACCCTCGCTTACTTGCATCTTCATTATAAAAGACATTGATTGCAAACTCAAGGTCATATTGTTAGCACAATGAAAACGTATAGGTAGTGGCGTAAATAAGTGGAAACCTACACATAATGACGAAAGTATAACATTCGATACATAGATAAAATGACTACTTATCATTTTTAGATATTGTGACATACAGAATATTTCATAGTCTGTGTTAAATTCAATAATGCCAACGCGGAGGAATAAAACTGTCTTGTACTAGGAAAAACCTAAAGAGTGTATATACAACGTAACACTGGAATAGATGTTCCTGTAAATGTAACCCTTATAATATAATTATTATATATATATATATATTAATTACTCCACCTAGGTTATTAGATATACATGGGCAGAGGAAATTCCACGACGACATCACGTTTTCGTTGAAAGCCGGAGTGGAATTTGGCAAAATTCGTCTTAATATACATGTAGTACATAGTTTTATAACACTATCATACTAGACTAAATATATAGAGGATATTTAATGGTGTCTCCAGTAATAACAAATACATTTCACGACTGTGGGTAATATTTTAATATATTTCACGAGTGCGCAGCAAAGCATAAAACTGTGTGTACCAAACATTTACCATAGCAACGACTTATTCTATCGTCGCTTCATTTGAATCTTAACAAAAGGTCGTTGCCTTTGAATGCAGCTTATCACAAGACTGGATTTGTTTTATGTGTATGACTTAACTCCAAGATAGATATTACTATGTTTATTTCCCTAACATTAGACCAGATGATTCTGTTTGTATAACCTGAGGCATTGATAAGTTTATTTTGAAGTGTACTTCCCTGGCACTATAGCCGATGATTCTTTGTTTGTTTCTAACACAAGATTAGATGCTTATAATTATATAGCTAAGATATTAAAATAGTTTGCTACTAGTACTAGGCATGGGGTTTCGGTTTATGCAGTTATTTGCAATGGGACAGTGAACAATGAACATATAAATATATCATTTACGACTTATAATCGTTCAATGATAAACTAACTTACCTGATTTTTCGAGCACTTCAACTGCCTTCCATGCCATGCCGACCTAGGAAGTAAAACCGTATACTTCATGTTAAACTCTAATTAAATATTTCACATCATTTTTGATCACTATGGTTAGTAGTTATTGTAACATTTATGAAATTAAAGTTTTGTTTTTCAAGTTGTGCGACTAGGAAAGTAGTCAGAAATCCTATACCACATCGTCAATACACGACAAAATCCTATCTCAAACTCTATGGGAAAGACCACACACTTGTGTTTTCTAACGAATCAGAAAGCACTAATTTATTGCGCGGACGAATATATTCACGAGTGAACGGAGCGCACGAGTCTATACATCCGCACAATAAATGAATGCTTTCTGATTCGTTAGAAAAAGACAAGTGTGTGGTCTTGCTTTTATCACATACCTTCCGTATTTGGTAGAGATGTATGCCAAGATTTTATAAACTGATTTTTTTTTTGCAAATACCGAGACCTTTTCAGTTCGCCATGACAAAGGGGATTCCCATAAAAAGTAGTTCCGGCTAATAGATAAATACAACATTCCGCATTGCACATGTGCAATACAGAACGCTTGTATTACTGTAACAAGATTCTACAGGTATGTGATAAAAAAAGTTATCACTTAAAATGTCCAGGAAGTGCAGATAAATTCATTAAATGATAAAATGTACAAAATAATGAAAATTCATCATATCGTCTATACATAATTCTTGTATGCTTTTCTTGTACACACATGAAAACAAGCATGCCATATGTGCATCTTTCAGAAAGTAAAAGCAATCTAAGATGTGCATTATTTATAAAATGAACTAAATAAATAAATGAAAAATGCATTGTCACTATTATTTTGTAATATTTCCCCTGAATCTTCAAGTATTAAATCATAATTGGACTTGTTATTTTTTAGAGATAGCAGTTCAATATTCTCTTGATGTCGTCACGTCAGTTGTAAAGATACAGTGGGTTTTCCAAAAACGATACTCCCTATCGCCGATTTGTTTACGTTCCGTCTTGTTATATGATAACAATACAACTTCATCTCATTCATAATATAACCATTTATGACTTTTCTCGAAGTGAATATGTGGTTTCATGGGGACGAGGAGATATTGACAAAGTGGGAAAACATATATTCACCTCTTATAAGTCCATAATTGATATATATATATATAGCAAATATCAAAGTGCTTATTTCTTATTTACCTGATAATAGGCAGATGCCAATATTTTCCGTAGAGTATCCTCCTCGAATTTTGAATCTGACCCTAGCTGTCCTTTACTATTGGTTTCCAGCAATGACGTCATCCATGTAATACCGTCATAATGCATGCCCAAATCTATTGCACCTCTTGCGATTGCTAGCATTTCCCGCCATGACAGTGGATTGGAACTCTCCTGTAGCACGGTTCCATTAACCAGTTGTTGGAGGTCAAGCTGATAGATTCGCCAAAGCCGAAGGATCCCTCGAACTGCGCCCAAGATGTCATCTTTCGTGGGCCAAATTTTAACAGCGTTCAAGGCAATTTTCTTCGATATTTGTAAATCTTGAAATGAATAATAATATCAGTTGAGGATATCTTTAACTACTAATGATTTGTTCATTGTCTCTATCATCCTTCGTCTTTGGGTTTCCAAAGATGGAGGTTGATGAAGACTATGCACAATTTTTATGCTCGCCATCATGATCTCGACTGTTTTCTATAATGCTAATTAGCGTCACTTTCCGAGTTCTCGATATGTGGACGTGATATTACGTGAGTTTGACTTTGATTTACATGGTGGGTGTCATCGATGAGCAAAAGACGTCTACCCTTCCGAAACACCTGGTCTTATTATTATTGACCTTTTGCAAGGTTTACCATGTAAAGCTTTCCGTTATACACAATTTATTCCTTAGTGTTATCGATTTTGAGTTGAAATTATGGTTGATAGACTTTATTCTCTTGTTTTTTTAAACAATACGTCGTGTACATGTTGTTCTATTGATATTTCTTATACAAAACATTGATTCAGTCTCAAACTTGTTAGACACCAGGGAACTAGTTGCATCCTAGTTATTCATATGTAAGTTGCATATCTCAGATCTTCCAAAAAAAATCTATGTTTAAATAAGGATAATTTGACAGCGCTGAATTCATAAAGGTTTTAAAACTAACTGATATAGAAGAGGTTTACAACTCGTACCATTCCGGGGCATTCTCCAGAAATGTTTAAAGTCATGGATTACATTTGTCAGTCACATAGAGACATAAAATGTTAACAATATCCTTTTATGTGTTAATTACCGCATCATGATGACTTAACATATTAACTATGAATATATACACTACTTGGTGTCCTTATTCTTATATTGAAGATTGGTTTATTTACTTTGTATACAAGAAACATCTGTAGATAAATGTAAACATCGAATTTTAGAATAGGGTATTCTGTCGTTGCGTATCGCAGAGTTATCTTCTCTTGTGAACAGGTATTGATTGTTACGTCATTGGTTTGTGCGAGAAAATTACGTCGTTTTCTCAAAAATCGATGACGTTACACTCACAAACAAATGACGTAACAAATCTATTTCTGCCGGAAAGCTACCAAATAGGTGGGAAAATGCTCATGTTACCCCAATTTATAAGGGCAAGGGAGATAAAAGTAATCCATCCAACTATAGACCATGAGGTGATGAATTGGCCTCAAACTTCAAACTATTTGCTGATGATACCTCCTTATATGGTCTCATTGAGGGAGACAGGCAAGAATGTGCTAATATATTAAATGATGATCTAAGGAAAATTTCAATCTGGGCTAGAAAATGGGGAATTATCTTTAATCCAGATAAAACTGTAGCCCTGCTCTTCTCGAGGCGGGTTGACTCTGAGACACTTCATCCCAACCTATATTTTTATGAATCATCAATTATTAATGTTTCTAATCATAAACACCTAGGTTTGTTTTCAACAGCAAGGCTAATTGGTCTAACCACATAAACTATATATACGAAAAAGCTTATAAAAGAATTAATATACTTAGAATGTTGAAATACAAAATTGATAGAAAATCACTCGAAACTATATATATCACATTTATACGTCCAATTCTGGAATATGCAAATATTATATGGGCAAACTGCACGCAGAATGAATGCAGTGTCTTGGAGTCTATCCAACTAGAAGCAGCACGTATTATCTTAGGGTTAAGACGTGGAACAAGTCATGCTATCTTATATAGAGAATCTGGTTTTATAACACTTAATAGAAGAAGACATTTGCATCAAAATATTACTTTTTATAAAATATATAATAGGAAATGTCCCTCTCATGTCTATGATATAATTCAACCGTACATTAATGATAATACTGACAATTATCATCTTCGCCACAATAGAATTTTTGATGTTCCTATACCAAGAACTCAGTTATATAATGCCAGTTTTTTCCCGAAACTGATGTCTGAATGGAATAATCCAACTTGCCTGTATCCCACTATGACATCCATTGGACCTATAAAAAGAGATTTTCTACACTCAGATGAAATGGATTTTCAACCCCAATGTACTGATATTTTTAAATACAATGGTGATCGAAAATTTAATATTACCTTATGTCAACTTAGAAACTGTGCCAGTAACCTGAATTCAGATCTATTTGAATCTCACCTAATTGATACCCCTGCCTGCTTATGTAGTTCTCCTGTTGAGGATTGTGATCACTTCTTCTTCCATTGTACTCTGTATACTAATCAAAGGCAAATTCTCCTGAACTCCATTTCTGCTTTTAATGACATTATTCCATTAAATACTCAGACTTTTCTTTATGGATGTCAAAGACTCGATATCAATATGAACATAAGTATCTTGGAGATGGTTAAGAGATTCGTTAAAGATACAAGACGCTTTAACTAGATTACACTTACTTGTTAATCTCATGACTTTGCTGTATGGAATGATACCAGTACATAATTGTACTATGTGCTGTCCACCAGCATAATTTCAATTGCCATTTTTTGTAAAATCTAGTTTTTATACAACCATTACCAAATTTTTTTTAAGAATGACATGCAGATATCAATATTCATGTACATACTATACATGTTTTATCATTACTTCAATTCAATATGATGTGTGTAAACTGTTTATAACTGTAAGGAGAGGGCGCTCATAGGCTTTGCCTGTTGCCCAATTCCTTTTTATCTAAGATCTGAACAATAAATATTCTGAAATGAAACGTAACAATCAATACCTGTTCACAAGGGAAGATAACTCTGCAATACGCAAAGACGGAATAGAAGAACAGTTAACACATATTGGGCTTAGGGGAAACCTGCTTTCGTAATTTAAGGAAACCTTATAAGTTTTACGTCTCTGTAAGGTCAATTGTGTTAGAATACCTTTAGCGGCGTAGGTGTCCGGACAATCGTCACAAAAGATCTCTTCAAAAACCTTCTCCCAGTCCTCAGCCACTCGAAGTATTAAGCGTAAGGCATTTATTGGATGGCCAACCCACAGTCCGGCATCATCTACCGTCGAGCGTTGTGTGTAAATGTTTTCAACAAATCTGTATCATAAAAATATGATTTTTTTGGGGGGGGGGTTTGGTTTTTTTTTATAAATATATAGGAAACAGTTTTGTATTATTAAAATGAAAATGAAAATGAATCATATATTTGTTCCCTTGTATATTTAACTGCTTGTACGCATGTTATCAGCCAGAAAACAAATGTATCAAAATAAAATACATTATCTTCTGAGAAATAAGAAAAATAACCTCGAAAAATAGTGTACTGTTCAGCTTATCTACCTAAAACTTAAACAAGTTGCTGACTAAACGACATTTAGGACGGAAAAATCACATTACACAGCAAAAAATTGCACTTTTCTGTTTCAGTTTGTCAGTTTGATCAGTGGATAGAGTTCATCTTCTGGAATAATGCAGCATCTTGTATTATCACAGTTTGAAACACATTAGCTTGTATTACATAACCTCAAAAACAAGCTGTATCACTATTATGAGGGTAACTCGGGTATGTAATAAACTGTTTTAAACAGTTTAAATGTAACCTGTTTATAGTTACCCGGTCTACTCTTAATTCTTTGTCGTTGATCCAACGATCACAGTATCATTGGTAACAGATGCAGTCAAAGTGAAATCTGTCTTTAGTCTGCCTTCGGCTTACGTTATATAATAGCTATTATTTTTTTAATATTACTTATATGTTATTATATGTGTATTGTACTCTGACGTAAGTATTCAGTTTTTCTATGTGTTTCGATATAGAGCGGATTGCTTCGAAATTTGACAACATTAAAATTTATTATATTAACTCTGTTGAAATTAACTGCTTGCTCCTTGTCATATTTTATGTAATTCGTATCCTGCAAACATACGTATGCAAGGATCAAGTTGTGAATTTTACCGTTGATTTTACTTCGTTGTACCGTATATAGTTACTGTATTATAACTATACCTTACCTTAAATATCACGAGCGCGTTACTGAGCTGTACGACAATGAGCCATTGTGTACCAGGGTCGAGTCCTTTTGTTCCTCCTCGGATCGATCAGAACATGGTATAAATCATTTATAACAGATGCGGTCTGCAAGATGTCAACGTTGTACGTACAGATCGAATACGTTTTTAGTTTTGAAGTGTGGGGTCTAGTCTCAGTAATTGATTATGTTGTGCAGTGTGTATGTGTGTTTGTGCGTTGCTAGAGTAAATATAACGTTAACAATTGGCAGTTTTATGCTTTTTTGTTGTTTTTTTCTTTCAAACTTTCAAATACAATTTTATGCCTACGAGACATATTACAAAAGGACAATGATTCAGAGTAAAGTAGGGGTATATCAAACCAGCAAATAAAGAAGTATGCTACTGTGTTAAAACTAGTGAATTTCCCTTATATGTAATCTACGACTTTCTGTAAAACTATCCCAACATTAACACTTACTTTATCACTTTGTCCCCCACGTGTGTTCCATTGTTTACACTTGTGTCCTTGTACCTCATGAGGGCGCGTGTAAGACGCCCCTCCTCCTCATATAACGTTTCCACACGCTGCACAGACGAGAATATATGTCCTTGGGTCAGGCTTATACACGCCCAAAACACTGCTACCACACAACAATTAATATTCATTGTATATTAAAACGTCAAAACACCGAAATACCGTGGAAGTGTGACGTCAGTACCGTGTAGAGAGTCCTTTCTATGTTGTCTATATCGGCGTCATGAATTAATGATGAAGTTGTAAAAATAATATTCTCTATCGTACGTATCCAATCAGAGGATGCACACGTGTTGTCTCAGTCATAAGCCAACGACACGTCACCAATCAATTATTAACTAGTGTATTGTGTCCACAATTTGTGGTCCACGGGTGGTGAAGGAGGATATCATAGGTATAACTTACCTGGACAGGAAAGAGTGTGTAGGTATGGATTGTATATCTGGAGTGGCAATATATGTGTTGGGAGGAGGTCATAAGTACACTTTATACAGGGAAATATTTGGCCTATGCTTGTAAAATCCATATTCGCTCAAAGCTTAGGTTTAATGTAATGATTATTTCACATTAATTACCACCGATGAAGAGGGTGCAATTTCACGGTGGAAAGTACTGAATAAGAAATTAGAATATATGAGTTGGGAGAGATGTATCATGAAAAATGCATATATAATTGGAGCATGAACGTTGAAGGAGATCATAAGGATAATATGTATAAAATAGGAATATGAGATTTGAAAAGGATGTCGTAGGTACAAACTACATGGAATGGGAATATGTGAGTTAGAAGGGAAGTAATAGGGATAAATTATAAGGAATGGGAATATGTGAGTTAGGTGGGAGGTTATAGGGATAGTGTACATGGAATGGGAATATGTGAGTTAGGTGGGAGGTTATAGGGATAGTGTATATGGAATAGGAATATGTGAGTTAGGTGGGAGGTTATAGGGATAGTGTATATGGAATGGGAATATGTGAGTTTGGAGGGAAGTTATAGGGATATTGTATATGGAATGGGAATATGTGAGTTAGGTGGGAGGTTATAGGGATAGTGTATATGGAATAGGAATATGTGAGTTAGGTGGGAGGTTATAGGGATAGTGTATATGGAATGGGAATATGTGAGTTTGGAGGGAAGTTATAGGGATATTGTATATGGAATGGGAATATGTGAGTTAGGTGGGAGGTTATAGGGATAGTGTATATGGAATAGGAATATGTGAGTTAGGAGGGAGGTTATAGGGATAGTGTATATGGAATAGGAATATGTGAGTTAGGAGGGAGGTTATAGGGATATTGTATATGGAATGGGAATATGTGAGTTAGGTGGGAGGTTATAGGGATATTGTATATGGAATAGGAATATGTGAGTTTGGAGGGAGGTTATAGGGATAGTGTATATGGAATAGGAATATGTGAGTTAGGAGGGAGGTTATAGAGATATTGTATATGGAATAGGAATATGTGAGTAAGGTGGGAGGTCATAGGGATAGTGTATATGGAATGGGAAAATGTGAGTAGTGTATATGGAATGGGAATATGTGAGTTTGGAGGGAAGTTATAGGGATATTGTATATGGAATGGGAAGATGTGAGTTAGGTGGGAGGTTATAGGGATAGTGTACATGGAATGGGAATATGTGAGTTAGGTGGGAGGTTCTAGGGATATTGTATATGGAATGGGAATATGTGAGTTAGTTGGGAGGTTATAGGGATAGTGTATGGGGAATGGGAATATGTGAGTTAGGTGGGAAGTTATAGGGATATTGTATATGGAATGGGAATATGTGAGTAAGGTGGGAGGTCATAGGGATAGTGTATATGGAATGGGAATATGTGAGTTAGGTTGGAGGTTATAGGGATATTGTATATGGGATAGGAATATGTGAGTTAGGAGGGAGGTTATAGAGATATTGTATATGGAATAGGAATATGTGAGTAAGGTGGGAGGTCATAGGGATAGTGTATATGGAATGGGAATATGTGAGTTTGGAGGGAAGTTATAGGGATAGTGTATGGGGAATGGGAATATGTGAGTTAGGTGGGAGGTTATAGGGGTAGTTTACATGAAATGGGAATATGTGAGTTAGGGGGGAGGTTATAGGGATAGTTTACATGAAATGGGAATATGTGAGTTAGGTTGGAGGTTATAGGGATATTGTATATGGGATAGGAATATGTGAGTTAGGAGGGAGGTTATAGGGATAGTGTATATGAAATAGGAATATTTGAGTTAGGTGGGAGGTTATAGGGATAGTGTATGGGGAAGGGGAATATGTGAGTTAGGTGGGAGGTTATAGGGGTAGTTTACATGAAATGGGAATATGTGAGTTAGGAGGGAGGTTATAGGGATAGTTTACATGAAATGGGAATATGTGAGTTAGGTTGGAGGTTATAGGGATATTGTATATGGAATAGGAATATGTGAGTTAGGAGGGAGGTTATAGGGATAGTGTATATGGAATAGGAATATTTGAGTTAGGTGGGAGGTTATAGGGATATTGTATATGGAATGGGAATATGTGAGTTAGGAGGGAGGTTATAGGGATGTTGTATATGGAATGGGAATATGTGAGTTAGGCGGGAGGTTATAGGGATATTGTATATGGAATAGGAATATGTGAGTTAGGTGGGAGGTTATAGGGATAATGTATATGGAATGGGAATATGTGAGTTAGGTGGGAGGTTATAGGGATGTTGTATATGGAATGGGAATATGTGAGTTAGGTGGGAGGTTATAGGGATATTGTATATGGAATGGGAATATGTGAGTTAAAAGGGAGGTTATAGGGATAGTATATATAGAATGGGAATATTTGAGTTTGGAGGGAAGTTATAGGGATATTGTATATGGAATGGGAATATGTGAGTTAAAAGGGAGGTTATAGGGATAGTATATATAGAATGGGAATATTTGAGTTTGGAGGGAAGTTATAGGGATATTGTATATGGAATGGGAATATGTGAGTTAAAAGGGAGGTTATAGGGATAGTATATATAGAATGGGAATATTTGAGTTTGGAGGGAAGTTATAGGGATATTGTATATGTAATGGGAATATGTGAGTTTAAAGGGAGGTTATAGGGATAGTATATATAGAATGGGAATATTTGAGTTTGGAGGGAAGTTATAGGGATATTGTATATGTAATGGGAATATGTGAGTTAGGTGGGAGGTAATAGGGATAGTGTATAAGGAATGGGAATATGTGAGTTAAAAGGGAGGTTATAGGGATAGTATATATAGAATGGGAATATTTGAGTTTGGAGGGAAGTTATAGGGATATTGTATATGGAATGGGAATATGTGAGTTAGGTGGGAGGTCATAGGGATAGTGTATATGGAATGGGAAAATGTGAGTTAGAAGGGAGGTAATAGGGATATTGTTTATGGAATGGGAATATGTGAGTTAGAAGGGAGGTTATAGGAATAGTTTATATGGAATGGAAATACGTGAGTTAGAAGGGAGGTAATTATATAAATATAATAGGGACAGTGTATGAGGAATGGAAATGTGTGAGTTTGGAGGGAGGTTATAGGGATAGTGTATATGGAATTGGAATACGTGAGTTAGAAGGGAGGTAATATGGATAAATTATAAGGAATGGAAATGTGTGAGTTAGGAGGGAGGTTAAAGGGATAGTGTATATGGATTTTTTCCATACACACGAGCTATTCTCGCACATAGAGAAACCTCAGAATTCAGCAAGCGTATTACAAGAACCACTCTGCAAATGTCGTGATAATATGTTTGATCGTATGGGTTTTCTTAAGGTATCCCTGGGTTCCTCCAACAATAAAACCTCTTCGCGCTTTCATCAGGGCTAACAAGAGTGATGTATATCAGTTGGAAAAGCTTGTTTCAAATCGCGTAAAAGAAATATTTAAAGATTTTGTATTTTAGGTCAAATATAACACACGTTAATGAGCATAATCAAAAGAATAGACCTTCATATCAAACGAGGGAAAATGATCTTTTCCAAAGAATTATAAAGGCGAACATTAAACTTGCCTGTAATATCCACTGGTAAGTGATTAATCACAAAGTAATATCTACTGCTCTATTGCATCATGCGACACAAATGATTACCGACTTTCGAACGTATTCACTGGCCTTCATCCGAGCTTCTTTGTATGATTATGTACAATGTAATTAATATATCAAGATGGTTATCGCAGGAAAGCAATTTTAAGTAATCATTTAAGGCATTATGAAAGATCGTAATACTTCATAAACATTGCTAATTCTTTTCAAGTAAATTGTTGATATCAATGCTTTTGGGTAATGTTTTTTGTCTTTACCAGGTGATTCACGGCTTGTGTCCGAATGGCTTCAAGAGTATCCGAATGGCTTCAAGAGTATCCGAATGGCTTCAAGAGTGTCATTCCTTTGCTCTTCAGTCTATCTCTGGTGTGACTATATGTGGGATAGGGCAGAGAGCCATGCGGTATCTCCCCGATCCCTGAAGTAAACAAGGGGTTTGGTGTTAGGGGCACGAGTCCTGTGGTCTGGGAAAGTAGTCTTCGCTTCCAGATTGCCCTTCAGTCTGTCTTTAGGTGTTGTTACATGTAGGATAGACAAAGTGTTGCCTATAAAAGTCAACTATTGCAACCTTGTATGACTCCTGAGATCTTTCCTAATTCATTAACTATTTCTTTCCGTCAGACTTCTTCTGCACTATTGCATATAAGATGATTAAACAGGTTAAGATCCCAGTCTATACAGCTCAATTAACCGTAAACAAAACACTCCTACTGAATGTCAAAACACGAGAACAGGATTGCCCAGGATTCTATCTAAACATCGAATACTCATATTCTTCTTTGACCCTATGTGGTTACAAATGGAAGGTACTGATTTGAGTTCTATTTATTCCGCAACATTCTTATTTTGGAAAGCTTCTCAATTTCTGACATGTTTTAAAGAGATTTGACCTTGCAAGTACTCGTGAATGTAACTTGTGGAATAAAGGAGGGTGCTTTGTCGAGATCGAGAATGAATAAAGTTACGTTATCATCCGGCCGATTAAAGCAAGCAAATTGAATAACAATCTGAGATAACCATGTCAATGACTTAAAGCCGAAGTTATTTTAAGCAAATAAATAACGTTGCAAGTATCTTTATGTTATAAACGCATTTTCTATTTGTACTCGTTTCAAGTGTTACGCGCTTGCATGAGATGAACTCAACCTATTTAACGAAATAAATTGAATCCTTACAAATGGAAACATTCTTTACAGGAAGTAATACTCGTTTAAATCAGCATTTTCTGATGTTATTTTAGAACATTAACCGAATTTATAAAGATAGATAAAATTGGTTCGTTAAAACTCACGAAATGCTGAAAGAAATTAGCCTCATAAAGATGGCAATGTCATTAACACGTTTAGATTTCTAACCACAAAATAGAAATAATGGAGAAAAACAACGAAAACACTATATTTCTTCCATTTTTTTTTATATTTAAAAACATTTAAAATTTTATTAGCACTACTAACATTTGTGTACAGTGACAACAATATACATCTCAAATAAATGCACAACCATATCTTACGACCAGATGTAGTTAGACATTCACACAGTTCACACATACTAATACACACACACGGTTATATCACAGATACGTTTTATAGGTGACTTAGTGGTACAAGTTATACTCAGTCATACTCGATGGGATAAAAACATATTTTACCGTGAAAAATCGAAAATGTTTCAGTTCTATAGCAGTTACTGAAGAATCTTTCAAAACTATTTTAAAACAAAAACTCAATTATTGAGAAAAAATATTTCAGAATGAATATTCGATAATATTAGTGGGGGAGGGGGGGGGGCGGGATTAATTTAATGAAAATTCGGTGTTTTCGAATGTAAATTCGATAGCATACACGAATTGTTTTACAGTGATTACTCAAAACAATCTTTCAAAACTGTTTTATTTGAATATTGATGATCTAGAAAAAAATGCTTAAGGGTAAAAATTCGATAAAGTAGAGAAAAATATTATCCAGTGAAAGCGCGGTAATCTAGAAATTATCATTTCACTGTGAAAAACGACAATGAAAATAGTGTTTTCCAATAAAAACTCTACAACCTATACAAACAGTTAACAGTGAAATCTAACATACACTTATCGTTTATAACACGACATTCGAGATACATAATGTGAAAAACTTGGTCATATAATCTCAACAATAGAGACAATGTTTTACGCGAAACTCGTAGGTTAGTTTTGACAGTTAACAGTTCGACAATCTAGGCACTTTCTTTAGAATGTTGTAAATACGATTTATCAGACACATTGGTACCTGTATGAAGTCGACAGTCTAGATGCATACTGACAAACGGGACTATCTTTATGAAATATCAACGACAATAAGGATACACAGTCTTTTAGTGAAATCCCGACAGTATAGATATTGGGTTGTAATGAAAACAGTTTTAGTCTAGAAACACATTTTTCATACAACCTCATTTATCACAATGTCCATGTAAATCAAAACGACAACGTCTGTACGTACCGACTCATAATATTTGCATTGTAATCAATGCAATTCAGTTTACACAGTTTTATCTCTATTATTAGAGACAAAGCACTCATTACGTTGAACAAACTCGAAAATATCAATCATTTAAATAACCAAATGACTTCAACTCAGATGTGTGCGTTGATCTCCAGAAGAGCCATATAATATAACATATTTAAATATATAACTTGCACAATTTATCGATAAAAACGATTATCAAATTTGCCTTATATATGTGATAAACAGGGCAATGTGGTAATCGGGACCCCATTATTTATCTAAGATCAGATGGTGTTTGATGACGGGAGGTATGTGTTACGTGGCTTTCTCCTCCCCACCTGTCCCTATGACAATGTGTGTTATAGCGTCTTATTAATGGGATAAAAAGCCATGAAGTATTCTTCCGATCCCTGAGATAAAACAAAGGGTTTGGTTTTAGCAATAAGAACCATGATGTATTGTCCCCAATCCTACGATAAACAAATGATTTGGTTTGAGGAGTAAGAGCCATGTGGTATGCTCCCAATTCTTCAGATAGACAAAGGATTTGGTTTTAGGAGCAAGAGCCGTGTGAAATGGTCCCAATTCCTAAAATGAACAAGGGCTTTGGGTTTAAGAGTAAGAGCCATGTGGTATGCTCCCAATTCTTCAGATAGACAAAGGATTTGGTTTTAGGAGTAAGAGCCGTGTGAAATGGTCCCGATTCCTAAAATGAACAAGGGCTTTGGGTTTAAGAGTAAGAGCCATGTGGTACGCTCCCAATTCCTTAGCTGAAAAAGGAGTTTGATTTTCGGACCAAGAGCTGTATAGTATTGTCCCAATTCTTAATATCAACAAAGGATTTGGTTTTAGGAGTAAGAGCCGTATGGAATGGTCCCAATTCCTAAAACGAACAAGGGCTTTGGGTTTAAGAGTAAGAGCCATGTGGTACGCTCCCAATTCCTTAGCTGAAAAAAGGAGTTTGATTTTCGGACCAAGAGCTGTATAGTATTGTCCCAATTCTTAAAATGAACAACGGATTTGGAGTCATGTGAAATGGTCCCAATTCCTAAAAGGAACAAGGAGTTTGGGTTTAAGAGTTTCGGACCAGGAGCTATGTAGTATTGTCCCAATTTCTAAGATAAACAAGCGGTTTGGTTTTAGGATTTAGTGGTTTTTCTCCAAATTTCTGGAGAATGTCATCCCCTTGGACCGGCTCCTCCTAAAACGAGATTCCATGTTTTCACCGATAAATGACAAATGTGGATTTCTTATTTATAGTTACCTCCCTGATTTCTAATTATCTCCCTCTATACACCAATTCATACTATGCATTAAATGCGTACGAAATTAAAGAATGACTGTCAACAATGGTTTCACACTATCTCAACTTCACAGAGAGTTTTGTCTTGATCGATGTCATCACGTTTTTTGTATTTTTTGAAGAATTCCTCAGTATCACAAATGTCTTCTATATTCATCGTCGCCTCTCTTTTAATTTTTCCTATATTCATATCATCTGCCTTATCGTCGCTACCCTCGTTGCCTTGTAGCGATCCTGCATCCGAGTTAATCTCCAATGATACCTCGTCGGATTTATCGCTTTCCTGCGACTGGTAACCAATGTCTTCCTTTGAGCTTTCGTTATTTTGGAAGAAGTTATTCATTAATAAACCGTTTTGTGTTTGTAAATTTTTGTCTAATGTTGTATTTGTATCTCCATTTTCGCTTTCAAACTCGTTATCAATTGACCTAGTTTCGTCAATAATTTCTTTTTCACTTCCGTCGTTTTGACTCCCACTACTGTCGTTATCCACAATCTCGCTCTCGTAATCAGTACTTATTGACGTATTTTCAGCTACATTTATCATCACTCCATTTTGTTTTGTCACATCTGGTTTGCCTGATATCTCTGAATGAGCAGAGTCATGATGAACCTTTGCAACATTTTCGGTTTCCGCATAATTGAATATTTCCCTCTCCGTCATTCGTCTCATTCTAACACCGTTTACATTATGTGAACCCATATCCGGTGTGTTGTTGAAGTCACTTCCGTCGTCGGCAACTTTGCCTTTAACATCGTTACCATAGCCGTTATCTAACGGTGATTTATATACCAGTAAGGCAAACAGGAGAAAAAGGAGGGACAGGGCCTTACCAACGACAGTGATGGCAAGGAAATGATAGCTCAGCTTCTCATTGTCGTATAGAATACATGAGCCTTCGTCACCACAATCGTTCTGCCAGTAAACACACGACATGTCTATCAACTTCCCGAACATAATTGGCCCTGGGATGAATCCTGAATAAATATACAAAACAAAATCAATTAAAATGATCAAATCCATAAGATAGTCAATTGATTTTAGCAGAAAAAGTACACGGTGTATAAGGAATAATATTCAACAGTTTGGTATAAATGATAAGGGTTAAGTTTGTTTTCAACACAAACAGGAATTGAAAATTTATTGTGCGAGCTTTCGATAACGTCTGTGGCAAAGAGTGTAAATGACCGGTGCTTCGGCTTTAAATCGCTGAAAACAACTCACTAAGCCACATAATGCCGAATCAGTACTGCAGTATGAGAGCGCAATTTGGCGAAATGTCTCTTATGATTTTCGACAGCTGAGTTTACTGATTTTGCATATTTAGTCTTAATAAATACATTTACAATTCAGCTTTCTCTTTATCATGCATTTGTAATTAACCCTTTCATCCCTAGGTAACTTTAGTAGACTCTACCATACATTTATCTGGGCGAATCAATTATGGTCTACAGTGGTGAAAGGGTAAGTCATTTATGTTTTTCTATAGCATAAACGTTGTGAAATATTATAAGCGATTTTACTGTTATATCATATGACTACAACCTAGGAAGACCTACCTAAACACTTCGCTATTACCCACTGTATACCAAGGCCAAAGGTTCTCTGTTTTGTTGGTATACATCTGAAAATACAAAAAAGAAAATAATAATATTGATAATTCGAGATTCTTATATACCGGTTGATCACAACCTAATTCGTAGATCGTCTCAAAGCGGTTCACAAATTATTATCCGTGGTTATAGGGCCTTTGCAACTAGCCAAGACCTTTCTCAACTACCTGGGGAGCATACAGCCGGAGCTGCCATTTCGGCGCTATCAGTAAAGCATTCAACAATTCTAGCACTGCCCAACCAAATACTCATTTACAGCTGAGTAGACTGGAACAAGCGAAGTAAAGTATCTTGCTCATAAAGACCTATTTTAGCATGAATGTATTTCTTGATATAAACAAAAATAACTTCATTATCCTGTTCAGGTAAACTGGGATTTCGATCCAGATGTTACAGGCTGATGAGAGGTAACTACAATTTCATTAAGTTTTGGGTATAAAGTGATTAGTTGTTAAACGTACATGTTACAGTGTAAAAATTGTCAACGATCAAAGCATAGATCAGCAATAAGATATAAATAGCGCAAAAATCATTTCTTAAAGTGATAAACCTATTCCGTAATCTACAAATTTAAATGGTGTTTCTTCAAAATGTAAATAAATAGACATTCTTAAATTATTACACTTCGGTAAATGCAAGGTATTACATAAAAAATACCTACTTTACTCATTCACCCCTATAAACAAATTTGAACTCTTCCAATTCAAAGGTTGGAATAGGTCATTATGGAATTTCAGGGGTGAACGAGTTAAATAATATATCATTCTTCAAGCTGTGTATGACAGCTCTGTTCAAAATTAACATTTATCGGATATCGTACTTTTATATATTATTGGGCAAATTGTAACCGGTTACATTTTGAATCGAGATTTTCAGAAACTAAAGAAGAAAGTAGTGTGGAAAGGGAGGTACAAGTTAGCTTGTTATGTACACTGTAGTTTCTAGAATAGATGTATTGTGATTCTTAATCAGTTCCTGAATACAGGGACCTCTACAGAGACACGTGTTTGGTGACACAGTACCGTCCAGTACATAACAGACGTGTAGGACGTCACTTCCCCAATGTGGTTTGGTTTTGGTTTATTAGTTATAACATCCTATCAGCAGTAAAGGTCATTTAAGGACGTGCCTTATGTTTGTAATATTGTAATATATACATCCATGTTTGTATGTATACTGGAGGCGGTATGTTGATGTATTTGCCTCCTTGCGGTAACGTAAATGTGATGTCAACGTTAGAGTATTCCGTCTTTGCGTATTGCAGAGTTATCTTCTCTTGGGAGCAGGTACTGATTGTTACGTCACTTGTTTGCGAGAGTAACGTCATCAATTTTTGAGAAAACGATGTAATTTTCTCACACAAACCAATGACGTAACAATCAATAACTGCTCCCAAGAGAAGATAACTCTGCAATACGCAAAGACGGAATTATAATACCCAACTGAAATACCGTGCTGAAGGCACCCAGCACATCATTCCATCCGGTCACATCATACTGATAAAAGGTCAACAAGGTGCTGCCTATACCCTAAATGTTGAACGTTTAGCAGTAAAAAACAACTACCATTAAGGGATTCGATAGGTTCCAATCTGGGGACAGAACCCAGTTTTCCTCACTGGGGGGCGAACGTTTCACACTAAGGCCAAAATTATGGTAATGCCAAGCAAGGTGCTAGGAAATAGAAAGGTTGTTAGCAAGTTAAGTGAAAATTTGAATATCCAAAATGTTTAAGTTATGCAGTAGATTTATTTGAGTCATTTTTGTCCCGACGTAGAAGGTACAAACGGAAACCCTCAGTTCTGCAAAGGGTTCCCATACTGGTTGCTTTCGCAACATGCAGTGGGTAACAGCAGGTAATTATTTTTCAATCTCAGACCGAGGAAAGCAGTGAGGACAACAATGGTTCTACATCAATGACGACTTTGACGTCATACGTACCTGAGAGAGGCGGTGAGAGAAGGCATTGTCATACAGAAGGAGAAGAACATGTTGAAGATGATGAAGACCACGTATACAGGCAGGTATTGACACGAGCTCTCGCACGTGCCTAATGTAGCATCCACACTGCCTGCTACATTACCAACACAGCTACAGTTTGTATACTCCTGTAATTTGAAAAGAAATGGAAAATCAAAATTATCAATTATGATAAACATTACTTTTCTCCTACTTTTTTTGTTTATTAAAGTCTCCCTTGAGTATCTCTGATCAGATAACCATTATTTTATAAGGGGAAAATGTTAATGACACGAATATCGTTCACTCTATAAAACTTTTATTATTATTATTATTATTATTGTATTTTTAAACATTTAAAATTCAGAGTGTCTCTATTTTCATTATTCTTCATTTTAGGTTCATGTCATTTCTTCAGTATGACATTCATGTATGTACGTCAGTTAATTGATTTTCTAAGAGTGTACACAAAATTTCGGGATAAATGTTTACTTAATGCAATTTTGTTAGCACAACAAGAATAACCATAGCATAGATATGATAACGGGAAGATGATCGGAAATATTAGGATTTGTACTGAATGACAAATATACTTTATATGTCGACACATACGAACAACTGAGCATGGAGCCACTTAACATCAACACTTTTCATTTACAGCAAGTTGATTTGGATTCTAGAAAATATTTCAATTACCCAGATTTCCTTGTCTTGGGAAACAATTGTACATCCGGCGAAGCAGGGTGAAAAGTAAGTGATGCCGTCTTTGCCACAGACTGGGTTCAAATTGTCCCTGACACAGTTACAGCTAGCGTGACAACTGTCGTTTTTAAAAGTCCCCGAGAACGTAATAGCACTGAAAACAAAACACAAAATGTGTTAAAGAGAAAACAATAGCGCTGACAACATGGTACATAGAAAACGCAATGGCACCAAAAATTTTAAGCTGATCTGCATGTTATCTAGAAACATCTTGGGTAAACATTAATTCCAGTGTAATGTCCAGCAGTCACAAACATGTATTTCCTTCCATATTTCGTATACAAGTTTGAGACTAATAGAATCTTTTTATCCCCTTGGGGTAAGAAAGGGGAATCTCAAGCCGAGGAGAAAGACTCTAAAGTTGACAAACACTCAGCAAGCCTGGTGTATGAGAACTTTATAATATTCCCCAGGGTGTCGGGATTAAATTATTCCTTGCCCTGACCAAATTGACCCCCTTATACATATCGTATACATTGTTGACGTGACCTCATTTAATCGTTATGACTGGGAAATCGCTCCGTCTCAATCCTAGAGTGGGACAACTTCCTGATATGGGATAAGTATGGATCAATAGCATCTATCACCCCCTTGGGATGAGATAGGGGAATCTCAACCCGAAGAGAAAGATTCTAAAGTTGCCAAGAACGAGGATTTGCCGACAGTTTTGCGACTTAAAAATCTTTCCCCGAGGGTTGAGATTTTGTACCATACACATAATGTACTGTTAACGTTATATGCTAAATTATATAGAATTACATATCAGAATATTATAATACAGATTGTCAATTTATATTGAATTACATATCAGAATATTACAATACAGATTGTCAATTTATATTGAATTACAAATAAGAATATTATAATACAGATTGTCAATCTATATTGAATTACATATCAGAATATTATAATACAGATTGTCAATTTATATAGAATTACATATCAGAATATTATGATACAGATTGTCAATTTATATTGAATTAAATATCAGAATATTAAAATACAGATTGTCAATTTATATTGAATTACATATTAGAATATTATAATACAGATTGTCAATCTATATTGAATTACATATCAGAATATTATGATACAGATTGTCAATTTATATAGAATTACATATCAGAATATTATAATACAGATTGTCAATTTATATAGAATTACATATCAGAATATTATGATACAGATTGACAATTTATATAGAATTACATATCAGAATATTATAATACAGATTGTCAATTTATATAGAATTACATATTAGAATATTATAATACAGATTGTCAATTTATATTGAATTACATACGTTAATGCGCGGATGAATCCATGGCAGTGTGAAATTCCGCGAAATGTCACGTAAAGGTACCAGACAGATCGGACGAAATAGCAAAATCTAGTATGGGGTATAACGTGGTATATCTCTGTCTGAGGTGCGAAAAAAGGATATCTCACACCGGGAAAAGCGTGGATGCACCTGTCCAGGGTACGAAAAACACTCGTCCAGAGAAATTTCTTACATTCTTTTCTTGCCCTTGGCAGTCCTGTCATAGGCGCACAGGAATAAGAAGAAAAGGGCATCTAACATCAAGAAACATCTATGATATACCTGACCAAGGTAACAGAAATACCTGTCCTCATATGTTATGAATAATGGTAGCAAACCTACCTTTTCGTTAAGTCGCCATATGCCACGTTGATACCGGCGAATGGCACTCTGGAACAATTGGCTATAAAAATGAGTGAAGAAAGCAAAGCACATCCGAGCAGCACCAAACTTAGTTTAAGAATCCCTCGGATTTGTAGGTTGAATCTCTCCACTATATATCCACCTAAGAATGTACCACCAGCTCCAGCACATATAGCAGAGGCACCTGTTATATATACAATCACTTCCGGTTATAAAATAGGAGGCATCTGTTATATATACAATAACTTCCGGTTATAAAATAGGAGGCATCTGTTATATATACAATCACGTCCGGTTATAAAATAGGAGGCATCTGTTATATATACAATCACTTCCGGTTATAAAATAGGAGGCATCTGTTACATATACAATCACTTCCGGTTATAAAATAGTAGACACCTGTACATACACAATTACATCCGGTTATAAAAAATCTATGGAGGAGGCAACGATTACATATACAATTACTTCCGGCTATCGAATAGGAGCCACCTGATATATATATACAATAATATCCGGTTATAAATTATATAGTAAAACATGTTAGGAGGAACCTGTTTGCTATATACCAACATGGGAAATCTGGTGTAATATACATGTACGACCTCATTACATACAATGTAATGAGCGTTACATAATGATAAATTTACCACAATAACCGTATTACACTTTAGTGATGATATAATTACACTACACAATGGCACAGATACACGTAAATAATAATGATCAAATTACACTGCAAAAAAAATATACAATTAAATTGAAGTGATATACTTAAACTAAACAATGACAGTTTCATTGAAATGATAAGATTACACTACACAATTCCCGAATTACACGAAAATAATTATACAATTACACAACACAATAACATATTTACACCTAATTGATGACATTATTACACTAAAACATGACACAATGTCATTTAGATTATGAGTAATTATAAGTTCTTACCGACGTAGAGAGCAGCAGACGATGATGATAAGCCAAACTGGATTTCAAAGAATTTTGGCAGAAATGTGGCGAAACCGGCCAACAGGAACCCTGAAAAAAATGACCGACACAGTTCGTGACATTTGACCACCACAATGCATGCTGTGTCATCAGAAGGCCCCACAGTTATTTAAGCAATAAACTGCATAGATGTGGCAGACCAACTGGTATAACTGCCACATGTGTCACAGACAAACTTATCATGGTGCGCGACATCTATGCAGTTTATTGCTTATATTTATATTTCCATAATGAGAATTCGCAAAAAATAATTTGTCTTTACCAAATTTCAAATTTCCCGTTTATTACCGTCATGTCAGGTCAATATCTAGAACGGCACAAAGATAACAGCTGACGTCACGCGCTATTTCCCATACACAATTGAAATGACTCCGCAACTTTCTTTAATAATTCATTTGTTTTTAATTTATATATATTTCATATTCTCGATTCATACATAGTAACAAATAACATTTTGTAAGTAACTAATCAAGTGTCGTAAAACATTTTCCGACTTTATTGCGACCTATATCCGGCGCACGCACTCAACGGAAGTCTGCAGTAATCAGGTCAGAGTTATAATTATTTGAAGTCCGGCATGTTGTTGATGTTGATCGTGCAACCGGAGAAGGTTGAATTTGTGAAAAATCCAGGCATACAATTGTTTGTTGATCACACAGACACTTGAGACAGGCAGCTGGTGTTCGGGATCAAAGCAGGAGATACCGATAAGTTCGGTAGTGACACTGTAAGTCGCTCGGAGGTGCAAAGACCAACTTCAGTTATAGTCTCATAAGATGAAGCTGCTATTGGCAGTACGTTAGTAGTAATATAGAAGGGCTTTGCCACACCAAATGTAAATATATAGGTTATCACATACTTGTCGGTGAGATGGGCTATGTTTAGCGCATACAATGACGCTAGGTGCTAACACATGGAATATTTAAGTTCATGAGTTGTATCATTTGACCTGTAACGTCATCAAACATATCACTATTTAAGCTCACGGTTCAGTGTTACTATAAGTGCACGAGTTGTATCATTTGACCTCCAACGTCATCAAACATATCACTATTTAAGCTCACGGTTCAGTGTTACTATAAGTTCACGAGTTGTATCATTCGACCTGTAACGTCATCAAACATATCACTATTTAAGCTCACGGTTCAGTGTTACAATAAGTTCATGAGTTGTATCATTTGACCTGTAAAGTCATCAAACATATCACTATTTAATCTCACGGTTCAGTGTTACTATAAGTTCATGAGTTGTATCATTTGACCTGTAACGTCATCAAACATATCACTGTTTAAGCTCACGGTTCAGTGTTACTATAACTGCACGAGTTGTATCATTTGACCTGTAACGTCATCAAACATATCACTATTTAAACTGACGGTTCAGTGTTACTATAAGTTCATGAGTTGTATCATTTGACCAATAAACCACGTTTATACATACCACTAGTGATTGTGACGAACAGCATACACACAAACATAGGGTTCAGGAACAGGATCTTCAGTGATTGCACCAGGTTCATCAGGTCCAGTTTCTTACCCTTGGTACTGCTGTCTATATTTTCCTCCACGTCGCCGTTAGCATGAACTTCCTTATCCTTTTCGTGTTTGAATTGCGCAGAATCTGCATTATCAGAACGGTGACCAATCAGTACCGACGGTCTTACGTATCATGTGCTATAAAAATGCACAAGTCGTCTACTGTGTCAGTGTGTAACTATTCCGTCTTTGCGTATTGCAGAGTTATCTTCTCTTGTGAGCAGGCATTGATTGTTACGTCATTGGTTAATGTGAAAAAATTACGTCGTTTTCTCAAAAATTGATGACGTTAATCTCACAAACAAATCACGTAACAATCAATACCTGCTCACAAGAGCAGATAACTCTGCAATACGCAAAGACGGAATATGACGTCGAAGTCGACTTGCTGATACACAAATAGATGTGTTTTGTAGACATATACTAAATGATGTACAAGTATTTATACCAAGTTGTGACACGTACTGTTCACGGCTGGTTTCGAAAAATAAAATGTTTTTATCAATGGAAAAACAATGGCACTACATCGACAAAACCCCTCTGGTTAAAGTATATCCAATGCGACTTACCTGGAAGAGATTTAGGAAATCCAGCAAGTGGAATAGCGACAACGATAGCCAACACACCTCCTATGAGGTAGCCGATCCACCAAGCACCTACATACTGCGAGCTGTTAGCATTAAGGTTCAACCTAAAACATACGTTACACAAAATAAAGGACTCACACAACTAATTCAATCAATCAGCAAGTGTTTCATACGATTGTAATCCCTATCTAAAATGTGTTCCTGGTTAATGCAGTGCCTCTGAGTAATGTAAATAGGTAATTGTTGACATATTTTACATTGAATGAAATCTACAGATATTGAACTTTGGAAAAATGTATAGTTTTAGTAGATTTCAAAATGTGATGGCGGATTGATATGGGGTCAAATAGAAATATAAAAATGAACATACATCGTAACTGAGAAACATACAAATGATCATACATCGTAACTGAGAAACATACAAATGATCATACATCGTAACTGAGAAACATACAAATGATCATACATCGTAACTGAGAAACATACAAATGATCATACATCGTAACTGAGAAACATACAAATGAACATACATCGTAACTGAGAAACATACAAATGAACATACATCGTAACTGAGAAACATACAAATGAACATACATCGTAACTGAGAAACATACAAATCATCATACATCGTAACTGAGAAACATACAAATGAACATACATCGTAACTGAGAAATTTAAAATGATCATACATCGTAACTGAGAAACATACAAATGATGAAACATCGTAAATAGAAACATACTCGGTATATCCGTTCGGGACACCCACTGTTTCACCGTCAGACAAATAATTAAATAATCCTGTTCGTGGTATAGCTATAGCAGGGGAAACAATCGGCCCTGTACCTGATGTTCGCAATTCAGATAGAATCTATATGTATAGGACAAAGGAGAACTCTGCTGTAACTTTTTGAAAACAGAAGTAGGACAAACGGTGAGCGGAAATTAAAAAGGATCATATTCTACTGTTTGTCCTACATTCTGTTTTAGTGAAAAATCTAAATAAAGTATCTAATCGGAAAAGATAACAGTCAAACCCGCGTAACGGAAGCCAACTTTATCGTCCAATTAGGGTAGATATCGGGAATCACGAAACTTGATACCCAGGGACAATTTGACGTAAGGTACACTCCTACGTTTCGCCGTCACGGAGTATAAAAAAGTCGGTAATACAGAATGTTAGGTTATTGCTGTAGCCAATCAGAGGCTAAGGCAGCCATTTTCATTTCCAAAAATCACTTTATCTTTTATTTCTGCAAAGGTGTCAGTTGTAATCTTCCAGATAGTTACGATTATTTGTCTGGGCAGGATTTGTACAGTTGTAATGGAAGCAGTTNCCCCACCCCAGTGTAAGTGTTTCCGCATAATCGTCCAAGAATCAACGAATATTTATGCAACTAATCAACAAGTGACAACATGTTAAATAAGGAAGAAAAAACAAAGCTAAAAAAAATAGCCGATACCGCGAACAGAATATGCCTGATACTCGCCCTGCTGGGATTGAATGTTATAAAACTATCTCTAACACAGTTCGCTATTGAAATCATTGATTAGGAATCGATTTTCATGGAAAGTGAGAACCTATTAAATACAACTCCGGTCGTGATATACACTCGAACCCTAGCGGTAGCTAGCCTGTAGACATATACAGCCTGCATTTATTATTAATGCTGTTATTGTTATGATGATAATGGCATTTTCTGTACCATAATACGACCTAGGAGAGATGGTCCAACAAAAATATTGATGTAATTATACTCGGGCCTAGGACGGTCGGACCGACGATTTATGTACATCATTACTGGGTCTAGGACGGATGAACCGACAATAAAAAAAAAATTACTCCCGGACATAAGACAGATGCACTGACTATATATTCGCACAGTACGGGTGAACTGATGGTCGCTCGTGTTAAATATACTTTGAATATTTCATCTTTATAATTTTTTTTTATAAAAGTCACGCCAAGTATGGTTTTCAATACGTAGTCACAATTTTGGCAGCGGTACAGGTATCTTTGAGTACCATGTAATAATTTGCACATGGTACATGTATATCTATATTTGTAATGATATGTAACTCTAGGCTCTCTTGGAATATCTTATAAATGAACACGAGACGTGATCACCGAACCATAGTATCGTCACGGTAACTAGCTAGCTATATTTACTGAATCAATCGGCGAACTTATGACGGAACGGGAAAACTAGGTATTCTACGCGCACGGCGTGTTGCAGTCAACAAGTCTATATACAAATCGATATATCAGTGTTTTCTGTTTTAGCTTTGGAAGTCGGGGACCTTTCTTCTCGGTACATGTTGTCATGGTGACCAAGGATACCCCACTGTTGTGCATGTACCCCTGACAGCAAAATCAATCGTGTATTGGGAATGAATGACATTTTTCAGTGTTCAGGCCGATAGAGAACTCATGATAGTTATATATGTAACCGACTTGCGTTACAAGTATACAAACAAAAAACAGTTCAATACACCTATTTTCTTTATTAATCCGAGATTAATAATTAACTTCATCTAAGCTTTCCCCTAATATTTGAGATATTGCATTTTTTTCGACGAGTCCAACATCACCTAAATGTTTACTTCTTACAATGGCCGACGTTATGAAAGACGAGAAAAGCAGCGTCAAAACGACGATGATCATATCTGCGTTCAAAACCCTTCGTGCACGTATAATATCATCAGACTTGCAGCGGACATGATGCAAATGTACTATCAAATATAATACCGTACGATATCATTCATGTATGTCTATAACAGTTTGTATCATGACAAAGCTTCTGTTAAAGTGTGTTACATCTGATCACGTGTTCTGTTTTGTATCCTGATTGGTATCAACGGGACCTTTTTGACTACTTACTTGGCAACGTCTACCTTATCGATGTCCACGTACAGCTTTAGGAACGCCCCTCCAACCAGGAATCCGACCCCCGGGCCTAAGATGTTCATGGCATGGTATATACCTGTAATGCAATATCGAAACAAATCGTAATGAAGTGATACAAATTGTTAGCTAATGCAATCGTTTATTTCAGAAAGGCAACGCCATGGCGGCTAAAACAAACCTTATCAGTTCTAATAAAGATGATTATGTATGAAAAATAACTTAATGGGGCATAAAATACCAGAAATACGTTATTATTTCCTATAAAAGAGGATTTAGAAGATATATGAAGTTTATGCTGATTAAGCCAACTGATACCGGTCGGGAGCTTTCATCTGCAGCCCCTTTATAATATGTTAACATCCCATCTAAAATTATATTTAAAGCTCGGTTGACGACAAGAGGAGAACGTTATCGGAAAAAGCTCCAGCGAATATTTTATTCTTGCTTGATTTTATAGATACACTGAGACACAATGGAAATACATTGTTATATCATTACAAACCATTAAGAGAGTGATAAATCGATATCAAATATTTACAGAATATGAGTGGATTTCACAATAGTTTTCAATTAAAACGTCAGCTTAACTCTGAGCAATTCACACCATGTTATTATTTTATTAACCTCGAGTCAACTGACTCATGGGTATAATACACATATAACAAGATAAGTACAACATGTTATGCAATACAATACAGAATAACATATGGACAAATGTAAGCACTGCGTCATTCAAATGGGTCACCGATTTGTTGGCGCACCGGACAGTCTCCGCGCTTAACGGTGAAAAGTTCAAGCTAGTGTACAAACTCTCTGGCTCAGTCGCTCTTGAACAATAAATTGAAATGATAAAACATGGCGGCAGAAATCAACCATAAGCACATGTTGTGCAGTTAACATTTTGCACTGTCATCCCGGCGCCCTGCAACCCGATGCTAGGGCGTTGCTCCGTGTATGATACCGTCCAATTACGGTGTTAGACGAGATGTGACAATGTGGAACTTAAGAAGTCGTCTCGACCAATCAGATTCCAGAGTTTTTACATAAGGTATGATAAACCCTTCTATTTCACATATTCTTTGTATATTAACTACTTCATGGTTGAATGGTTTACGTTCAACGTATGTTTTCATTGTACATTTAACAAGCAAAGGTTCCCTGATAGTGATACATTGTATTTCGAAAGGAAGTTAGTTCAGGAAATCGAGCACCAACTAACCTGTTGACGTCTTTAGAATAATCGAAGCAGATGTCGCTTCTATGAACGAACCGACTTCTGACCAAATAATTTCCCTAAACTGTTGTTGCTCAGATAACTATAGCACAGTGTACGTGTTATCAAAACATGTGACCGCCGGTAAAACACTATTTGTCCTCCGTCCTTACTAACATACTTCAGTCAAAGACTGGACTGATTGTTATTAAGCAGCTTTTCAACCATTTAAACATATTGTGATAGAGCTTTTGTGGCACACAGTTCATAAGTTTGGGGAATTAGCTCAAACATGCATCAACAGCATCAGCAACAAATCTTCTTCTCCGACATTTTTATTTCAAGGCGTGAATAAAATACAAAACAAATTAAATTCCGGAACTCCGGTAAGATTATAAAATAAGAAACGGAATGTGGTTAACGTACGAAATATATATTCGTAAACAATTAGTGATTATTTCCACTTGGACATCCACTCTGTATCCCCGTAATACATGCACACCACAATATTTTACTAAACGGTTATGTACAAGATTTGACCCATACTACAGATACTACTGGTATGTACCACGGGGACCTGCTAATTTGTTACGGGTATATGGGGACTTGCATTAGTTGTTTTTTACATCGAGAGCTTTCCTCTCTTCTCTTATATGCCGAAAGTTTATCTTAACTCATAAAACGTGTAAAATTACTCTAAACACATGAGATTGATTAGGTCCAAATATAGCTGTAGGTCCTTGTGATATGTCATACCGAATCTGACCGCCAAAGGTCAATGTGCCAGGCGATAAGATACGGTACAAAACTGTGATAGTAATTTATGTCTTGTCCCACTTATTGCTTCAATAAACGATATCAAAACATACAGCGAGTAAGAGGCCGGTTCATCAGTATCCAGTCTAGATCTGTCCGTATCTAAATCAACCACGTGACTTTGTAATCTTCACCTTTTACATTAGAACTGGAGATATGACGTCGGGTGACGGAAATATTAGCTTAAGGGGTTTCCCCGTCAGGTAGATAAAACTGACGGTGCAAGAAATGGCACCATAGTCTTTGTCGAGACATCCCCTTACAAGTTATATTATAGTCCTTGTCGATGTATCCCCTTATACATAATGGAATAGCCCTCGTTAATACATATCCTTAAACAGAATACTTCTTGTTGAGACATCCCCTCAGAATGATAGAATAGTCCACGTCGAGATATCCCCTTACAAGTTATATTATAGTCCACGTCGAGATATCCCCTTACAAGTTATATTATAGTCCACGTCGAGACATCCCCTTACAAGTTATATTATAGTCCTTGTCGAGACATCCCCTTAAAAGTTATATTATAGTCCTTGTCGATGTATCCCCTTATACATAATGGAATAGCCCTCGTTAATACATTTCCTTATAAACAGAATACTCCTTGTTGAGACATCCCCTCAGAATGATATTATAGTTCACGTCGAGACATCCCCTGCATCACCTCAGACACCCATTTAAAAATAATGGAATAGTCAAAAACGTCAAATTACTTTCACAAATGACAGACAGCATACAACCAACAGTTGACAGGTGAAAAACTCCGCAAACAGTTCCAAAGAAATAGACACCGTGTTACTCTACCATGGAAGGTGAAGGCGACAAAACAAATCCCACGTGAATGCCGAGATGAAGGCGATATGATATTTGCACATAAAAAAAATCAAGCTTATGCTGACGGAGTAAACAAATAAGTGAAGAAATTACTGATTCACGGAAGTTGTGGAATGTTATTATATATAGCATCAGCTTTTGTTGTCCGGTAGACCATATCACACATCCCAAAGATGGCCTTGAGTTGTGACGTCACAAAAAGCAATTATTACCGACTTAATCCACATACATCATCGGTTTTATTATCTCGCCGTATGGGCTGAGTAAGGAAACACACAGGGTGCAGATTGACATGTTTCTTTGGATCGTGGTTTTGGGGTTATCATGCAAACAGGTGGGGACAGAGAAATAAAACACAGAACTGACTGTCTATGCTATAGAGTGATGAGGGTAGAGCGATACAATGTATGTAGGACACAGGTTTGTGAGAGCTCTGAAACAGATCGATCTAGGTCTGATTGTGCGCGTGTCCTGTGCATATAGTAGTTCATCTGGCTACTAGAATTATTGTTGAAGTTCTTTATGAAACAGAAAATTACATGTTGTTCCTCTATTTCCTTCTATGCACCATTTGCTGACCTTTGAACTGCTGCAATATGACAAAATTCCGGCATGTAGTACCTAGTTATTCCAGAACAATGCGACTCTGCCGCGGTATGTTAATGTTACGTCAGAGAGTTACACTAACCATGACAGATGCGTACCAAACACAAGCGAGTTCCCCAGACCAGCACTCGGTAGATTATTATCCCACATTTACATACTAGACTAAAACAATACCTTTTACTGCATAATAACAGGCAAACGAGCACTGTGCGTGATACTTTGAGATCCAACATGTACTTACATTTGGGGATATCGATATATTTTAAAACTAGAACAGCTCTCTACTCGAAATGTAGACACACCAGCCTGAACACCTCTTTATCGATTATCAATTACCATAATGCTAACCTTTTTCGTTAAAATGCACGAAAATATTGGCTACTCTATTTCATGCTTTGCAATAAAGCCGTCAGATATCCGTAACGTGTTCTGTAGGTCTAGCACCGCCCTGTAGTAGAGTGTTCTGGATGTACTGACTTAGAAATATCAATAGTTTACACAAACAATGTATACACAGCAAAGTAATATGTGCGAGGTATGTGAAATGTATCCGACATTTAAGTAAAATTCACCAACCACTAAAAAGATGTTTCTACAATAAAACACAACGGGTGTAAAATAAAAATGTCCACTTATGCTGTGATGCATATCAAATTTCACCAGGTAAATGATGCGGCAGTAGGTATACGTTTAGATAAATACCTACTCTACACATTAAAGGTTTACCATGCCAAAGATCTCCAGATAAACTCCTTTTTTATTTAACCATTACTATTTGTTAGTGATTACGTCAATATCACGTTTAGTTCTATAGTACCATATAGTTATGTGAATGAAAAATTCTCATTCAAGATAATGTCAGTCAAAATGGCCCGTATGGGATAGACACCAAACCCCCTTCTCACACGTTCTGAGTGATGTCGCTTCTCTTGTTGACGGGTTTAGAGTATCGGGGCGTGTCGGATATATTTATATCAAGGAATTTGGCAAAGATGTAGGGTATTTCACAATTTTTATACCCTTGATATTGATATCACATCTGACAACAAATTCCACACTTTCCCCAGAAACATAACATTATTATGTAGTGTATGTACAATATATGTATTGGAGATATTGACGTTTCTAAATTGAGATAACTTGTGTCTGCACCTTTTTGTTGATTGACGAATAAAAGATGTTTTATCAAATTAGGCTATAGTCACAGTATCTAATACCCGATTGCGTAATACGTCACATGTTCCTGATACATCGTGTATACGTCACATGTTCCTGATACATCGTGTATATGCGTCACATGTTCCTGATACATCGTGTATACGCCTCATATTCCTGGTACATTGTGAAATATTTGTATCTCTCCCTTCTTAAGCTTAGTAAACTCTGACTGCGTATAAATTAGGGTACACGCAATGAAAAAAACGGCTCGGCGGATTGATGTATGTTTCAAATATGGCGCCGTTCACGCTTCAGCGTGATAACTGTTTGATGACAATATACAAGATACAAGATACATAATTTAAAGTACTATACTAAAGATGATGTAATGAATTAATAGTGAACACCAGCAAATCACACAGGTGTTGCTATATAATAGGAGGGTCAAAGCATTTCAAGTTTGATGTACATACATGCTAATATAGCAAAAGAGTAAAATTTGACATGATATACACTAATATAGTGCAAATTAAAATAAGATGACAAGGTCTAGTAAGTAAAAACATATTGAGCTTTAACGATGATTAGACGAGAGGGCTAGAAACTATGCTGCCAGTTATTGGTATATAAAAGCGTCATGCAAAGCAGACGTTAAGCTAAATAGATAGATAAATAATGTCAGCCATTATTTCGTTCCTTCAACATCGAGAAACATGCAACATATTTGAGATCCATTATGTTTGATTATGCAACAAAATGATGCTGACTAACTTCTTATTCCATGGATCCACATTCAAAACTCTTTGATGCTGAAGCAAACAATGGCGGCTTCCTTTTACGACGTTCGACCGCGTCACTACCAGAGCAGCGTGTCAATGCGTGTACATAACGACCGTTATAAATGAATAAATATGTTCGGAGTGCTACTAATATCACTTAATGAAAAACTCACAAGCGATGAAAAGAAGAAAATAGTGTTGTTCATTGCGTATATTCTAAATTTACCAATACATCGATGTAGATTCACTGGAACTATATTATCTAAGCAACCACGGCTACCGTAGTTACCATCGGAGCAACCCGCTTCGATTTTTTGGTTATTGTGTATAGCATTTAAACATTATTTATAATGTAAATATAAGGATTGACCTGCATTTTGACGGCGTATCCGGTAGAATGAATACAGTTGGCAACGAACATATTCTTTATGGAGCGCTTCAAATTACAGGTCAATCCTTAAGGAGACTCCGCCCTTTCGCAATTAGCCAGCAGAATTCAATGAAAGTTTCACATAATGGTTATGTCACTATGTAGAGATGATTTTATGACAATCAAAGCATCCCGATAAACTGGGGATTTTTTTTTTGTAAAAAATACCGAAAAATTAAATTTTTGTCAACTTCGACACTTTCACATTTATTGAGCGTGTGGCATTATTCAAAACTATTACAACTATAAAATAATGAAAAGAAACATTGCTAATCAACCCTGCAAATATTTTATTTATCATAGAATATCTACAAAATGTTACAAAAAGCTTTTTTTATTGAAATTGTATGGATAAAAGTTACTAAATACAATCTGAGAGCAAACAGGACACATAGTTTCATACAAAAAGAGTGAAAAAATGAACCAAATACACACTAAGTCCTTATAATTCATTTATTTTACATTTTACAATAATTTTGATCCGAATGAGAGTTGTCTATCTTGAAAAAAATCGGAACTTTTTGCAGAGGGATATAATTTATACAATGACACTTATTTTATTTACTATACCAAAAACGACGGAAATAAATTAAATTACTATATTTAATTGTCAATTTACTGTTCTTTTATGGAACAAAATTACTCTCAATAATGTACACTTTGGACATCATTCCATAGCCCGCTTACGCACGATATATTAACATGTCAGGTACATATGTAACCGTAGGCTATCGCATGGTATATATGCCGTTATTACACGTACACGCACAGGTGAGGTCGGTAAACAAAACACATCAGTTTGCATTCCATGCGCCATATATACGACCTTCTTGAAGTCGCCTGATCGTATGTCGGTGTTTTCCTGCGAGTTAATTAATATCTTTGTATCATAAGCTTTATTTCTGAAGTACGTGTGATTACACATGATGATACTAAGTTATTAGTATGTCTCGATATCGGGTGTTGACATAGCATCGTCACGCACGTGTACTATTGTTTACCCGGTGTTACTATATAATGTACACTACGGTAAAGGAATGCCCGATACGCAATACGGAAATGTTGACACGAAAGTACGACAAGAAAAACATGTGTATTACGAAGGGTGGGAAGTCCTTAATCACGTCTAATATTCCTGGTACATTGTGAATTACGTCACATGTTCCTGATCTATTGTGTATTACGTCACATGTTCCTGATACATTGTGTATTACGTCACATGTGCCTGAAACATTGTGTAACACGTCACATGTGCCTGATACATTGTGTATTACGTTACATGTTCCTGATACTTTGTGTATAACGTCACATGTGCCTGACACATTGTGTATTACGTCACATGTGCCTGATACATTGTGTATTACGTCACACGTTACAAATACCGGAACGGAACTGTAGTGGGTTTGTCTCCATTAGCCAATGTTTATGCTATATTTGTATAGAGACAAAAGACGTCATGCAATGCTCGATCGTGTACATATCGCCTCACAATTGCTGATTTCAGGTGAAATAGAAAGTAAATTTTGCTCCGGGCCAACTTCCGTGTCAAACAATAAATAAAGAGCCATAACTGTGTGTAAGCAACTTTGATGAATGCGTGTAAATTCCGTCTTTGCGTATTGCAGAGTTATCTTCTGTGAGTAGGTATTGATTGTTACGTCATTGGTTTGTGTGAGAAAATTACGTCGTTTTCTCAAAAATTGATGACGGTACTTTCACAAACAAATGACGTTACAATCAATACCTGCTCTCAAGAGCAGATAACTCTGCAATACGCAAAGACGGAATACGCATGGCATAAAGACAAACTGTGGATGAAAAGAAGGTCATACCAGTAACTCTGTAATACTCAGTCAACCTGTTTATATTACTATTTTTATATGGATTTAATACGAATAAATAACTATATGTAGCGGTATCAGTCACGATATTTTTCTTAAAGAATGTGCATTTTACAAACTCCACTAAACATATCGATTTCAAAAATCTGAAAATGTTGTTAAACAAATAACCTGATAGTTCTACAGCTAAAGAGTTAGATAAACTATTTCTCACATAGAAGCTCTAACGGAATACTTACCTAGGTACGTAGATGCAGATTTAACAGGTACACTGTCGTCCAGATAGGTAGGTCCCAATGTAAACAGTGGTGATCCTCCAGATCCCATGATCAACATGGCAAAATAAAACATATATTTATAATACGACAGACTTCCGGAAGCACCACATTCGATCTTCGTTCCACCGGTATCTGTACACAACATACTAGAATCATCCGTTCCCATTCTGTAAGCGTCCGTGGTGAAATGGGGCAAGCAAAATAGCAGGGTACCAACCCCGATCGTAAACATACCGAGACCGAGATACCGAGATTTCACACCCATCCCCCCAAAGTAGCTGACGGGCATGAGACAAAGGACGGAGGCTATATCGTAAAAACTTGAGATCAGTCCAGATTCTGTACTACTCAGCTGGAAACGTCGCTCCACACTCGATATAATGACGCTGGTGAAACCGCCAACAATCATACCCTGAAAATAACAAGAAAATAAGGTTAATATTAAAACAAACCAGTCCTGATAATCATGGCGTCCGTTACAAAAGTCCCCAAAACTTCTCCTGCATTCTTAAATAATGCTAACGGAAGGCGTTGTGCTGTTCGTTACGGCATCGAAATCCGTCAGTATCGACACTCTACCAATAAGAGGCCGCAGCGGCCGTCTTGCATGCGCAGCTGCATGAGAAAAGCGTTTCTAACATATCAAGGCGCTCAATTCAATTAAATTCAATTTATTCCGGGGGCCTTACGATCCATAGGTATACATAAATATAAGACAATATATTACATACATATTTGGAGAGTGATCTCTCATGAAAAGCATACAGAACACAGAAAGTAACATATACATGTCTGTACTAGATACACAAACAACATACTGACAGAGACGGGAGGTAACTCCGCGGCAATGTTACCTTGATTGCGATCACACCAATACTCATGCGAAGAAGAATTTCGTTTTGCTTCATTGAAAACAAACAATTGCTACCGTGAAAAAAACAAACATTTGTTACAATGAAAACAAAAGAACTTTTGTTAGAATCAAAACAAATATTTGTTTCAGAGAACACACAAAACATACGCTCAGTTAAACTAAGCATTTTTGTCTCAATGAAAAACAAAACAAACGCTTGATGAAATCAAAGTGCTATACATCTATGTCTTTATAAACGCTTTTTTGTAAACGTGTGACAATTTTGTTTTTTTGTGGGGGTTTTATCCAAAAGAAAAGACGTTTGTATTGAAACAAACGACAGAAATATCTATTGATATTGTCTTTCCAAGTGAGACATGTCCTTTATTTTCCGTTGCTATTGACTCGTGTTATAAGATGTATACAGAGATAAGGATGAGCCGATACATTGTTTATTACTTATATTGATTACTGGGCTATATACGTATGAATTAATAACAGTGGGTTTAGCGATCTCGTATGTTATGGTTCCTTCATTACCCCCACATCATTATTTCCAGGATTGGCTTTATCAATAAAATGTATTGATTATGTTTATAAAGAGTTATACTCCTATACGAAATAAAACAAGACATCTTTCATGGCGATCACTGTTAATACGTTGGTGATTAATCCCGTATATTTGTTTATCAAAGTCTTTAGGAAAATCCCAATCCGAAGTCACCATTGTTTAGAGGTTATATTTGCAGGATAATCCGCTAGAATGAAATTGAGGCTAATTTGAATATGCTAACTTCGAGCATAGGCTAAGTGCAACATGCTAACTTTGAGCATAGGCTAAGTGCAACATGCTAACTTTGAGCATAGGCTAAGTGCAACATGCTAACTTTTAGCATCACTTAGAAACCCGGGACATGTATACTTTCTTTTTCAGTGATGATTATTACTGTTTTTAATTAATATATGTGATTATCTCCCTTTACTTGTAATATAATATGTTATTGTTATATATATGTTGTCGCAATAATAGCTCTCAAGAGCTAGTGTTCCTTGTTTACCTTATGCGACGTTAAATAAAGTTTCTTGTATCTATTTCTGGGACTCGTTGAAACGTGCTAAATTTGAGCATAGAACCATTTCTGGGGCTAATTAAAACGTGGCAATTTAAAGCATAGATCCATTTCTGGGGCTAATTAAAACGTGGTAACTATGAATATAGATCAATTGTCGCGTGCTAACTTTGAACTCGGGTCCATTCCGAATCTTATTTCAACATTACTTTGAACAGCGACCCACATCTGGCGCTAATTAAAAAATTCGAACACAAACCGAAGTTTAAGGCTTATACTCGTCGATTTCAAAGCTCTTACTTCGAACATAGACTGGTTTGAGGCTAATTTCCACGTGCTAACTTTGAACCCCCGTGACCGAGTGGTCCTGACTACGTGTACACACACGGTGTTGTGATGGAGATAACTTATTCATGTATAGACATATGACCCACAGTAACAATCTACAAATACACGGCATCGGAGATCAAAGTAGCATCGTCTAATCACTAACACATACACGCAAATGGGCTCAGGAAAATCAAAAACGCATATTAGGTACAGTACGTTCTAGACGTCTGAGTTTGAATAAAAGGCACAGAGAGTTTATATATTTTGCTGAAATCCCGTTATAACCACTGGAAGTGTGCGTTTTTAAAATGTAATTTAAAATATGTTGCTCTGGTTCCTTTCAAATCTGATGCCAATAAAGACCCCTGTCTACACTCCATGATCACTATTACCCTAAGGGCTACTGATCAAATAACCCCCACCCCCACCCACTCCCATCGCTTATCTCTGGCCTCCCTCTCAAAATACCTCGCACCCTAACCCCTTCCCTCTGGCCTCTCCCCAACTATTCCCTACCCAAACCCCTTACTCCTGGCCTCTCTCTCAAACTACCTCCCACCCTAACCCTTTAGCCTCTGGTCTCTCTCTCTCTCAGCAATCACCCTACCGGCTCCAACCCCTTAATCCTGACCTCTATCTCTCTGTTTTTTCTTGTGCGGCCTTTAAATTATGGATACGTTACTTTTCTTGTACTTAATTAAAATCCCGTTAGTATGACGTCAGAGGAACCCATAAAGGATCTCATATATATTTTATCATTTAACCTCACAATGTGAACACGGATGCAGAGGCGTTAATCATTTATATTAATGGTGCTTTTGTGAACGTGCAAGATCACATGGAGAGAGCAAGACATCGATATCTCCCAGGGTTCCGTGCGGTACTCTCGATAAAGACACGGTAACCACAACAAACATCTATCCCAGGGTTCCGTGCGGTACGCTCAATAAACACGCGGTAACTACAACAAATTTATCGGTCAGATCCATTACAGCTATAAATATCTAGTCGTTCTAATTTTTTAACGATTTTCTTTTCATATCTAGTAATAAACCCCGGATGTATAAAAAGGCAGAAGTCGGAGATACATATCAACAATCAATGGTCTTGACACAAAAAAACCTTTCATACGACTACAGACGTGAACAATAAACAACCAGAAATAAACATAAACAGATGATGTTCACGACATAGGACAAAGTGCCGAGTTTACAGTAAAGAAGATACAGATACAGATACATATGGTTTATTAGGTATTATTATCAGCCACTGGAATAACCTATGGTGCAAACACTGGTATCCATTGTCATCATAATGTGCATTGTTCACGCGTTGTAAAAATGGAAGTTTCTACTCCTGCTTAACGCTCAGCAATTTAGGAGTGGGGCGACTGGTTCACCCGTTGTCAGTATAATGTGACCGGGTACCCCGGCCGGGCGTCCTGCTGGGTGTCTTCGGCAGAGGTTTCAGTGAGGTAGCACTATAAAGTCGACATCAGTTCCGCGCTATCTCAAGAAGACAAACACGAACATATCGCAGCCTCCCAAAAACACACACGCATACACTACACGCATGCATCTGACACACAGGAGAGGCCGTCCTCAAATGACCATAGCTGTTGATAGGACGTTAAACAATACTAACCCAAACCAAACCAAATCACGCTATGTCATAAGAATGTTACATAATATCACGAAATAGATATAGCATAACGATTGGTACATGAGAATTTGTCACAGCTATATTTGGACCTAACATAAGGTGTACGGAGTAATTTTACATGTTTAAGGGATTTAGATCGACTTTCGGTAAAAAAAAAAAAAAAAAAAAAAACACCTATGCTTACTCGTATAAAGTTAATCTAAACCCCTAAAACATATCAAAATACTCTTAACATCTTAGTTTAGGTCCAAATAAATTTGTAACAAATGCTCAGGTCCCTGAGGTATCACACCCCACTAGATATCGCACTAATAAATCATTATAAGGGGGTACGATATCTAGTGGAGTGTGATACATCAACAAATAGTGTTATCCATATTCTAGAACCCAATTATTTTTTTATCACAGTGATGCGCTTTGCGGGGAAACGTTGATGTCACCTGTTAATTTCTCTGTATAATATACATACATTGATAAGAGAAATGAAAATCAAATTTCTGTCGATAATTGCTATGAATTTATCGTTATGTTGGGGTAATATACATAAATATACCAGCACTGTAACATCCCAAACACGCCCTCGATTTGGTTGTGGTATTACGAAATAAACCTCCCCTCGACTGATAAAGGGTATAGCGATCATCAACATATGTTGACTACAGCCGTCACGGTACATCGACTGACAACAGTGACTCTGTGATAAAACATCTAGATCAAATTCAGAATAAAAAACCCAGTGCGTGTCACTCAATGTACCATATAATACCAGGAATACCGGATACACTGTCGATAGACGCTGATACGATCTAACGCATACAACCGTGGCTTGTGTGTCGGGTATGTTTACATGAAGCTGTTGTGTAATATAGTGAATGGTGTCAATGTAATCGTCACATGACATGCTGCAATGAGTTACAAGAGTTTTATTAAAGCGGTTTAATTATAGTTATCTATATATATATCACAAATGAGAAAAAATAAAACGCCCTTTATACTATATAGAAAGAAATTGGGTTTCGATTATGTCATTTCAAACCTTCATAGAAACCAATTGTAGATTTGACGAAATTTGCTTTAATTTAAGCTGAATGATGATTGAAGATGATGACTCCGTGTCACTCTTGTCATATTTACTGTCTAACAAATGCCATATTTACTGCCTCACATCTCATATTTACCGGCTGAAACATCTCATATTTAATGTCTCACATCTCATATTTACCGGCTCAAACATATCATATTTACTGCATCACATCTCATATTTACGGGCTTAAACATCTCATATTTAATGCCTCACATCTCATATTTACGGGCTAAAACATCTCATGTTTACTGTCTCATATCTATATTTACTTTCTTAAAAATCTCGAAAGCTATTAAAACAAACATCATGTTTACTGTCTCACATCTCGTATTTACTGTCTCACATCTCATATTTACTGTCTCACATCTCATATTTACTGTCTCACGTATATCAATGTCACTATCTCACACGTG